TTTCAGTTTCAGGAAGTCTTATTTATTGTCGAACTCAGTATCTGTTTTCAGAGCTATAGCTCTATAATAGTGCTTGAAGTCCGGGATGGTGATGCCTCTGGAAGTTCCTTTATTTTACAGGGTTGTTTTGGCTATCCTGGGTCTTCTGTTTTTCCATATAAAATTGAGTATTGTTATTTCAACTTCTGTGATGAATTGGCCAACACCATTTGTTGAAGATGTTTTCTTTTTTCCATTTCATATTTTTAGCTTTTGTCAAAAAATTAGGTATTCAGAAGTGTGCGGATTGATATATGTTATTTAATCCAATTCCATTGACCCACCTGTATATTTTATGTCAATACCAAGCTGTTTTCATTACTATAGCTCTATAGTAGAGCATGAAGTCAGGGATGGTGATGTCCCAGATGATTCTTTATTGTACAGGATTGTTTTGGCTATCCTGGGTTTTCTTTGTTTTTCCATAAGAAGTTGAGTATTGTTCTTTTAAGGTCTGTGAAGAATTGTCCTGGAATTTTGATGGGGATTGCATTGAATCTGTAAACTACTTTTTGTAGGGTTGCCATTTTTACTATGTTGAATCTACCTATCCACGAGCATGGTAGATCTTTCTATTTCCTGTTATCTTCCTAAATTTCTTCCTTTAAAGACTTGAAGTTCTTGTCATAGAGGTCTCTCACTTGTTTGGTTAGTGTTACCCCAAGATATTTCATCTTATTTGTGAGTATTGGAAAGGGTGATGTTTCTCTGATTTCTTTCTCAACACGTTTATTATTTGTATATAGGAGGGCTACTGACTTTTTTGAGTTAATCTTGTATCCAGCTACATTACTGAAGGTGTTTATCAGTTGCAGGAATCCTCTGGTATAATTTTTTTGGATTACTTATGTAAACTATCATATCATCATCAAATGGTGAGAGTTTGACTTCGTTTCCAATTTGTATCCATTTGCTCTCCTTTGGTTGTCTGATTGCTGTAACTAGAACTTTGAGTACTGTGTTGAATAGATATGGAGAGAGTAGACGGCCTTTTCTTGTTCCTGGTTTCAGTGGGATTGCTTTGAGTTTCTCTCCACTTAGTTTGATGTTGGCTGTTGGGTTACTGTATATTGCCTTTATTTTTTTTACTCTTTTTTTTATTAATATTTTTTTTATTTTCCATTTTAAATTTAGATAAGAAACAAGGTTGCTTCACAAGTCAGTACGAGGTCCCTCTCCCTTTCCCTCCCCTCCTCCCGTGCCCTCCCCCCATCCCCCCCGTTATCCCCTCATTCCCCCAGGGAGGGTGAGGCCCTCCATGGGGGTGTCCATTGTCTGTCATTTCATATAGGGCAGGGCCTAGACCCTTCCCCAAGAGTTCAGGGTGAGAGTGCACCTCACATTGTTCTATGGGAGTCCAGAGACCGTGTGTATACTTGGGATGGGTACTGATCTGCTGTCCAAGGCTCAATAGATTCCCTAGGCCTCCTCACTGACACCCAGATTCAGGGGGTCTTGATCAGTCCCATGCTGGATTCCCAGGCTGATGCCTGGGATTCAAGAGTTAACCTTTGTCTGGTCAGCTGTTTCTGGGGTTCAACCAGCCCAGTCTTAATCCCTTTGATCATCAGTCCTCCCTCTCTGATACTGGCTTTCTAGAGTTCAGCTCAGTACTTAACCAGCCAGTAAATGAAGTTTCTGTTTCCCAGACTCTCTGGCAATAGGATTGTAGGCTGGCACTCCCCAGATCTATGTCTAAAATCCATATATGAGAGAGTACATGCCATGTTTCTCTTTTTGTGACTGGGTTACCTCACTCAGGATGGTTTCTTCTAGTGTCATCCATTTGCCTGCGAATCTCATGATTCCATTATTTTTTTCTGCTGAATAGTACTCCATTGTGTAGATGTACCACATTTTCTCTATCCATTCTTCGGGTGAGGGACATCTAGGTTGCTTCCAAGTTCTGGCTATTACAAATAAAGCTGCTATGAACATAGTGGAACAGACATCTTTGTTATATGAATGGGCATCTTTTGGATATATGCCTAAGAGTGCAGTTGCTGGGTCTTGTGGTAGGTTTATTCCCATTTTTCTGAGGAATCTTCATACTGCTTTCCAAAGTGGCTGAACCAGTTGGCACTCCCACCAGCAATGGAGGAGTGTCCCCCTTTCACCACATCCTCTCCAGCATAAATTGTCATTGGTGTTTTTTATTTTAGCCATTCTGACAGGAGTGAGATGGTATCTCAGAGTTGTTTTGATTTGCATTTCCCGGATGGCTAAGGATGTTGAGCACTTTCTCAAGTGCCTCTCAGCCATTTTAGACTCCTCTATTGAAAACTCTCTATTTAGTTCTGCAGCCCACTTCTTAATTGGGTCCTTTGCTGTTTTGGAGACTTGCTTCTTGAGTTCTTTGTAAATTTTGGAGATCAACCCTCTGTCAGATGTGGGATTAGTGAATATTTTTTCCCATTCTGTGGGCTGCCTTTTTGTCTTGCTGACTGTGTCCTTTGTCTTACAGAAGCTTCTCAGTTTCAGTAGGTCCCATTTATTAATTGTTGATCTCACTGTCTGTGCTACTGGTGTTATATTGAGGAAGCTGTCTCCTGTACCAATTCATTCAAGGGTACCACCCACTTTCTCTTCTAAGAGGTTCAGTGTGGCTGGATTTATGTTGAGGTCTTTGATCCATTTGGACTTAAGTTTTGTGCATGGCGATAAACATGGATCGATCCGCATTTTTCTACATGCCAGTCTCCAATTATGCCAGCACCATTTGTTGAAGATGCTTTCTTTATTCCATTGTATATTTTTAGCTTCTTTGTCAAAGATCAGATGTTCGTACGTGTGTGGGTTAATACCCGGATTTTCAATTCGATTCCATTGGTCTGCCTGTCTATTTTTGTGCCAATACCAAGCTGTTTTCAGGACTATAGCTCTATAATAGAGCTTGAGGTCAGGGATAGTGATGCCTCCGGACGTTGCCTTGTTGAACAGGGTTTTTTTGGCTATCCTGGGTCTTTTGTTTTTCCATACAAAATTGATTATTGTTCTTTCAAGGTCTGTGAAGAATTGTGCTGGGATTTTAATGGGGATAGCATTGAATCTGTAGATTGCTTTTGGCAGGATTGCCATTTTTACTACATTGATCCTACCTATCCAAGAGCATGGGAGATCTTTCCATTTTCTGAGGGCTTCTTTAATTTCTTTCTTTAAAGATTCAAAGTTCTTACGATACAGGTCTTTCACTTGTTTGGTTAGTGTTACCCCAAGGTATTTTATGTTGTTTGTGGCAATTGTAAAGGGTGATGTTTCTCTGATTTCTCTTTCAGCCCTTTTATCATCTGTATATAGTAGGGCTACTGACTTTCTTGAGTTGATCTTGTAACCTGCCACTTTGCTGAAGGTGTTAATCAGCTGTAAGAGTTCCCTGGTAGAGTTCTTTGGGTCATTGATGTAAACTATCATGTCGTCTGCAAACAGTGAAAGTTTGACTTCTTCCTTCCCAATTTGTATCCCCTTGATCCCCCTTTGTTGTCGTATGGCTATAGCTAGAACTTCAAGTACCATGTTGAAAAGGTATGGAGAGAGTGGACAGCCTTGTTTTGTTCCTGATTTTAGAGGAATTGCGTTGAGTTTCTGTCCATTTAGTTTGATGTTGGCTGTTGGTATATTGCCTTTATTATGTTTATGTATGTTCCTTGTATCCCTATTCTCTCCAAGACCTTTATCATGATGGGGTGTTCCTTTTACAAATGCTGGAGCCCTTGTGTTTGGGGCATAGATGTTCAGAATTGATATTTCCTCTTGATACATTTATCCTGTGATGAACATGTAATGTCCTTCTTTATCTTTTTTGTTTAATTTTAGTTTGAAATTCATTTTGATAGATAGCTTGTTTCTTAGGTCCATTTGATTGGTAATTTTTCCCAATCCTTTACTCTAAGGTAGTGTGAAGTTGAGGTGTGTTTCTTTTATGCAGCAGAAGGATAGATTGTGTTTTCCTGCCCAGTCTATTAGCCTGTGTTTTTTTATAGGTGAATTGAGACCATTTATATTAGTGGATATTAATGACCAGAGATTGGTAGTGCCTGTTATTTTTGTTTTTGTTTTTGGTGATGACATTGTGTGTTCCATTCCCTTCTTTGGGGTTTGCTGCTGTAAGCTCATCTATTTCCTGTGTTTTTGTGGGCATAGGTGATTTCCTTGGTTTGAATACTTTCTGTAGGGCTGGATTTATGGATAGGTATTGTTTAAAATTGGTTTAATCATTGAATATCTTGTTTTCTCCATCTATGGTTATTGAAAGCTTTGCTGGGTAAAGTAGTCTGGGCTGGAATCTGTGGTCCCTTAGTGTCTGCATAATGTCTGGTTTCATTGAGAAGTCAAGTATAATTCTGATAGGTCTGCCTTTATATGCTACCTGGCCTGTCTCCATTGTAGCTCTTATTCACCAAGGTTGAAGTCACCTGAAGCCCTATTTAACAGGCAGTGGTGGTGCACACCTTTAATCCCAGCACTTGGGAGGCAGAGGCAGGTGGATCTCTGTGAGTTCCAGGCCAGCGGTCTACACAGAGAAACCCTGACTGAGGGAGAAAAAGGCTAAAGCTTACTGAAGGCCAAAAACTAAAAACAAAACCCCAAAACAGCCCTATTTAACTGTGGTGTTTTCAAAGCACTTAGTCATTTATTTTTATTTTATGTGTGCAGGAGTTTTGCCTGCATGTAATGCCTGTGGTGGCCAGAAGAGGACATCAGATCCTCTGGAATTGGAGTTACACATGGTTGTGAGCTGCCATGCTTGTTCTGGGAACCAATACATATCTTCCACAAGAGCAGAAAGTGCTCTTAACTCCTGAGCCATCTCTTCAGGTGTGTGTGTGTGTGTGTGTGTGTGTGTGTGTGTGTGTGTGTGTGTGTGTGTATTTAAGAGAAAACAGAATCAATGCAGAAATTTACTTTAGGAAAACAACAAACTAACAAAATGTGTTGGAGACAGACTAAATCAAGAGCATTTCTTAAGTACTTAACATTTATTTTATTCTTATGTACCTGTGTCTATGCAATATTAAGAATGCTGAACACAGTCCCAGGTACCATAGGGTCCTGAATCATCTGAAAATAGCTTTTTTACCTCCCCCCTATTTTGGTTTTATTTTAAGTTAATTATCAAGATTATTATTTATTTTTAGTTAATTACAAACTAAAAGGTTTCTGGATGCCTCTTGGCAAGCATTAAACTAAGCAGGAGTTTGTTCATCCCACATGTTTGGATTTATAGAAGATTTACTTTCATTGGGTGAGCTGATTTTTAGGATAGTGAGGCAAGCCACTGACAGTGCATACTAAGTACCCTACAGAAGGCAACAATCTACACATTTCCAACTACTGGTATAAGAGGAATTTTTCCAGCGGTTCTGGAAGCCCTAACTGGCAGATGGCTTGATGACATGCACGGCCCAAGTACTTCCGGACACACAGGCGGCAGAGCTGAGAAAGAGCAGGCGGATCTGGGAGAGGGAAGAAAAAATGGCATGAACCTCATGGTGGGTGGAAAGGGAGATACTGTAAGCTTAGTAGAATGGGATAGGAATTACCAAATGATCGTAAATGCTATAAGCAGAGAGTTTTGTGTTTTGTAGAGGATTCCTTTAAGTTTATCCTTCAGTAGTGACTGTATTAGTGAACAACAAGCTATCCACAGACTAGAAAGAAGTGACTCTAATCACCTTGACCCCATTGTTCCCTGAATTTCAGTCTCATGGGATATACTTATAAAGGGGCATTTACATTATCCCATTATTTCTTCACCTGTTCATCAGCAAAGACTTCCTCAAATTCATCCAATTACTGACTGGCTTCTACAAATCCTCATTGTAAGTACAGTCTACTCTAACAGCATAATAAAAATATGAAAAAGAGCAGATTACGTATGCAAATAGCCAGATGACACTAAAAAAAAAACATGAGACAGAGAGATATTCAAAGAACCAAGCACTCACCTTTAGTTAAATTACTGGGGATTGAGAACGGAAAAGAATCTTCCCCAGAGGCCCTAAATCTGGGGCAAGCCATGCCTCAGAAACTAAGAAGCTGTAGAACACAGTAACAACAAATTATCCAGTTCTCTTGGAGAAGCTCAAAAATAATGTTTGTGTTTATAAAGCTTGAGGACAGAGGAGCTTGATAATAAGAAATGCAAGTAAACCCTAGGTCAGAAAACACTACAAACTGTTACCAATTATGTTCTCAGTGAACAGTTACAAGAGTGCTTTCCAAACTAGCATCTGCTAAGGAAGGCCACTACCCTTCAAGTGACATTTCAAATAAAAGAACATTTATTAATGGCCTAGACATCAAAACTAATATAGATCAGTGTTAGATAAAGTGTGGGAGCCTGCTAAATATACAGAGTTTAGGACCCCACTTGAACCACCTTGATCATAACTTGTGTTTTAATAAGGTTCCCGGGTGATTCATTTACACAGTAGGTTTTTATTTTAAAGCACAAAAGAAACTGTTTCCAAAATGATAAACCAAGCATTTCACTGGGCAGGGAGGTCTTGGCAGTGGTGTCACAAAACATGAGCTCCTGGGTTATGTAAATTGTTTCAGGAGATTTAGATTGGTGTCTTGGAACTTGGGAGGCAGAGGCAGGCAGATCTCTGTGAGTTCAAGGCCAACCTGGTCTATAGAGCCAGTTCCAGGACAGCCTCCAAAACAATGCAGAGAAACCCTGTCTCAAGAAAAAAAAAGAGTGTTCTTTCCTGCATCCAATGGATTGCTTAGCATCTTAGTGCCTCTTCCTAGGTGTGTGACCTTCTGGAAGCCAATTCTTCTCCACTTCATTTTTCCCACTCGTAGCTGGAATCGCGTGTGTTTCTATAAATTCTTGGGGCTTTTAAGAATTCAGTGGGATTAGTTATTGGTTAAAAAGGCCATAGTGCTACTGGGTGAACTGATCTTATTAGATCACAAGCGATATACTTAGCCATTATTGATGTGAAGCCTGTGACTTTATTTCTAATTTGCCGACCTTTGTTTTTTTCAATTGTGTGCTTTTTCTATGAAAAGCATGACTCTTGAATCATTTCTGGGTGAAAACAAGGTTGTCTGGTTCTTTTCTTGTAGTAGAAAACAAAATACAACAATACACACTGAGTGTAAAAGAAAACTCCTAGGATACACTGCAGTGAATTCAGGACTTGCCCCTTCCCACAACTCCATCCCCAATTACAAGGCAAAGGGAAAAACTGGGGACTAGTGTAGGGATGAGACGACAGTATGCGCAGGGAGAAGAAGCAGATACCCTGCCTGGTCTCTTACCTTCATGGAGCAGGAGCGCCCGCTCCACACTGCTTTTTGGAACAGCAAGGTCAAGGGCGCTTTTGCCCTGCGAGTTCCTGAGTTTCAGATTAGCCCCATACTCAGTGAGCAGGTTGATGATCTCCACACTGGACTGCCTCACTGCAGCATGCAGTGGGGTGTCCAGCCACCGGCCGTGGTCAACACTGGCTCCTTAATAAAGCAGATGACCACAATCAATGCTGAGTGAGAATGTAAGGCATGATGAGCTGTTGAATATAAAAACACCTTAAATGTCCTGGTGTATTTAACCATGCTGTGAGACTGTGAGACTAAAGCCTAGAACCTCAGCAATGCCTGTGAAGACTACTCCAAGACAGTTTGGAGGAAAGTGAAGTTAGGTACTTACACACACAGACACACACACACACACACACACACACACACACACAGAGAGAGAGAGAGAGAGAGAGCCAAAAAATTGTAACATACAAAACAAAATATTTTACGTTCCTGTTACTTGATAATTTGGGAGCTTTATTGACAAAAGACTGAAAAGTATTTGTTTAACATGTATATTACTGGAGACTCAACAAAAATTTCCAAAATTAACATAAAGATGGTACATGAAGGAATAAAATAAATAATAAAAAAACATCTTGAAGGTTGAATTTCTCAAGTAAAGGTTCTTCCTACTATAGCTTACACATTTGTATCAGTAACAGATGTCTTAAACCATCAATCAAATGGTAGTTTTGAAGTATTCTACATTTCCCTGAAATGGTAGTTTCTTTATATGACATTCTGAAGTGAAAAATGACTGCCTTAGCAGGAGAGAGATCAGTCTGCTGCAAATAGTTTTCCCTTTGGAGAAGCATCTTCTTGTGAGTCTCAGCTCATGTATCCTGAGTGAAACCTAATGACTGCAAAGTATACTGAAACCTAGTCCTCAACCCAACAGTAGTCTGTATTCCCTTGGCCACCATGATCAATAGATTGGTTCAGGGATGGCCACGCATGCAATTCAAAAACAGTCAATATTCCTTCTTGTTACAAGCCCAAGTGTTTGTGGCAGACATATTGCCACCACCGAGGAGAAGCATACTAGCTATATAGGGCCAACATCAATGGAAGCAGAGCTGAGAGATAAATACTTAGTTCTCTAGACTAGTTGTATATCTAGCGTTCAAGTATCCAATGCAATAAGAATCTTTTCTAGCCTGATAAGAATGCTTTCATTAGAGCCACTAAAAAAAGAAGCCTAGCAGCCTCATCTCTTTAACACTGTTCTAATAATTACCTAGTTCTAGAAGCTTCTTCACGCAGTCCACTCTCTCATAGGTACAGGCCACATACAGGGGAGTTCCCAACTGAGGAACCTCTTGGTCAATGTTAACATTATTTGCCAGCAGTATCTCCATGCACTCTCTGTGACCTAGTGGAATATAAGACAACTTTACTTTCCTGGTGATGGTGGTGCATGCCTTTAATCTCAGAAAGCAGGCAGAGGCAAGAAGATCTCTTAGAGTTCAAGGCCAGCCTGGTCTACAGAGTGAGTTCCAGGGAAGCCAGGACTGTTACACAGAGAAACCTTGTCTCGAAAAAAAAAAAAACAACCTCACTCAAGTAGGAACATGTTGAATTTCAGGATTGCTTTCTAGAATGGGCTTTTGAAATAACAGAGATTTGGTGGACTGGAGAAGGGCTCAATAGAAACTCTTACTGCTGTTCTTCCAGAAGACCTGGGTTCAATTCTTAGCACCACATGGTGGCTAACAACTATTTGTAACTCCAACCTCAGGGACCTGATGCCCTCTTCTAGTCTCTGGGGACACTGCATGCGCATGGCACACAGACACACAGGCAAAACACCCATGTGCACAAAATAAATAAATAAAAATCTTTTAAAAGAAGTAACAGATTTTCCCCTGTTTAGAAGAAAAGCATTTGTGTTGGGAATCATAAGCAGAAATCTGCAAAATAAAACCATGAAAATGTTTCCTCTAGGGAAACTATTTTTTTTTCAGTCTCAGGGTTAAGTGCAGTGAAACTCAGCTTCTAAGGAGCATTGCTGAACTCATTTTCTAGCATGAAGCCACCACTTTACAAATGGATGGCAATAAGAAGCAAAGGGACGTGTGAACCCTGTTATTACCAGCACTTAAACTAAAGCTCAGTCCTATTCCCTGCCATTGTTAAGCTCTCGTTCTCTTCCTCATCCACCCCTGTAAAGAGAGCCTGCAACTTCACTGGGTTAGACTGAAAGACACAACTGAGAATGCATCCAAAGCTTCAGGTATAGAATATATTCAAATGAACTTACAAATTCACTAGCTAGGGAGAATTCCACAAGCAGGCATTCCCTATGGAGATTTTGCCCAATGACAAGATGAACATGATTAATTTGCAGTATATCAATAAATTCTTCATGAAAGAATGCTTCTGAGGTACTGATAAAAATTTGATGATAGTTTTAAATGTTTCCTCAAAAGTTTTACTACTGAGGTTGGAAGGATGGCTCAATGGTTAAGAGCACCTGCTGATGTTGTCAAGGATTCGAGTTCACTTTCTAGCACACATATGATAGCTCACAACAGTCTATAACTCCAGTGCCAGGGGGATCCATACACTCAGGCAAAACACATATACACATAAAATTAAAATATTTTTAAAAAGCTGTTACTAATTTAGCCAACCTTTTCTTTAGAGATAATATAATCAGAATCAAAATGTGCCTGCTAAACACAAACTAGCTGGTAAATATTTACTTCTATATTTTTGGTTGTGAGCCTAGCCTTTAACGGCTGAGCCATCTCTCCAGCCCAAATATTTACTTCTAAATAATTCTTCTCTCTTTAAAATTTTTGGAAGAACAGAACAGAGCCTAATTTGAATTAAAGGTAAATAGTCTTAAGAAGGAAGTATACAAACCCAGATGTGGTAGCAATTGCCTGTAGGTGAACATCTGAACCAACGCAAACTGCAATCAACCGACCACTGTTGAGTGTGCCCTGGAGTGGCTTCCTTACCTCTCTTCACTGCTTCATGGACAGGTGAAGCCAGGTAGACCTCAAGCTGGGCCTTGGCTCCAAACTCCAAGAGCACATTGACACACGCAGAACTGCCACTGCAGCAAGCATTGAAGAGGGGAGTGGCCCCATGAACTGTCAGTCCATTGACCTAATGTTGGGTAAAGCAAAACTCACAGAATTTACTCACTCGTTGTCATCAAGTATGTACTCCTATGAGAAATTCCCTCATGCTGTTGAAGAACTAAGAGCATTTCATACCTGTGGTGGATTGAAAGAAAATGCCCCCCAAAGGGTGTGGCACTATTTGGAGGTGTGGCCTTGTTGGAGGAAGTGTATCATTGTGGGCGGCTATGCTCCCAGTGTCACAAACCATTTTCTGTTGCCTGCAAGATGTAGGACATTCAGCTACTTCTGCAGCATCACGTCTGTCTGCACACCTCCATGTCCCACCATTATGATAATGGACTGAACCTCTGTACTGTAAGCAAGCCACCCCAGTTAAATGTTTTCCTTTATAAGAGTTTCTATGGCCATGATGTCTGTTCACAGCAATAGAAATCCTAACAAAAGTTGGTACAAGAGACTGGGGTATTGCTATAATAGGCCTGACCATGTTTTTGCTTGGAGAAATATGGACTTTGGGAGTTTGGGTTAGGAAGCAGTAGAATGCTTTAAGCAATGCTTACTTGAGCATACTAGTAGGAGCATGAAGGACAGTAGTGCCGAGTGTGATTTGTTGGGGGCTGGCTCAAGATGTTACAGAGGGGAAGAATATTAATATGTAGCCCAGAGATAGTTCTTGTGATTTTGGTGAAGAAAATGGCTGCTTTTTGCCCTTGTCCAAAGAGTCTGCCTGAGGCTAAAGTAAAGAAATTTGTGTTGTAATTTGTTTTAAAACTCAGTGAAGAAAAGTCACGCCATGCAACAAGGCTCACATAGGAGGTTTATTTGAAGAGAGAGAAGGAGCAAAGAAGGGAGCAGAGAGAGGAGCAGAGACCGGCCCCTGAGAACAAAATGGCAGGACAGAGAAAGGGGAAAGAGAGAGATGGGAGGTGGGCAAGGCCCACCTTTTAAAAGGGAATGTAATGATTGTAAACAGAAGGTGCTCTTAGTGACTGCAGCTGAGGATGTATTCTGTCAGGACCCCAAAGGCAGGCCAGTACAGATGCCTGAATACTAACAATTTGGATGAATTCCATTAGCAGAGGAAATCTCAAAACAGCCTAGTATAGACTCTGTCATGTGGTTATTAGTGATAACTCTAATGAAGATTTATAATGAAAAGGTTCAAGAAAATGTAAAATTTGAAGAGACAACTAATGGAGTTAAGTGGAATGGAGTGAAAATCCTGTGTTGAAGGAGATAAACAGATTAAGAAATAGAATAAAGAGAGGGTTGGGAGAGGGATCTGCGATTGACATGTGAAACATGCATGATTCTAATTTAAATAAAAACATATATTGAGAAAAAAGAAATGGAATAAAGAAAGCAATGACCTCAGGGCAAGATCCCACCTAGCTAAGTTTCCAACTTGTGAAAAGGAACTAAGCCAAGCTTCTAGCTGGATATGGTGGTGCACACCTTTAGTCCCAGCACTTGAGAGGCAGAGGCTGGCAGATCTCTGAGTTCAAGGTCAGCCTGGTCTATAGAGCAAGTTCAAGGACAGCAGAGTTTAGGCAGTGAGGCAAAACAGAAATATGAGAAAGATGTAATTCAATGAGGGAGGCATGTTCCAGCCCCAGTAAGCAGCAGAATTTAGCAGCTTTTACCACATGGTTTTGGAGTTAAGTATAGAAGAAAGGACCTGTAGAAATTTCCCCTGCGACGAAGGAAGACCTCTGAAGCCAGGCATGTGTCTGGGGTGCCCATGAATGGAGGCCTAGGGAGGCCATTGCATGAAGCTGTGAAGTTGAATCCTGGATTGCCTTGGAGACTCCAAGATGTTAGGGATGCCAGAGTATTCCAGAGTATTAGGATACTTCCTGAGGAGAGTTGCTAACAAGTAGTGGAAACAGCCCAATAGAAAGAAGTGTGTTTCAGTAAACAAAGCTGAAAGGAGTTGGAGATGGGAAGAGTGCTTTGACATCAGACATGGAGGTGCAGAGTTTGGAGCTTGTCCAGCTGGTTTTCAGTCTTGCTTTGGTACAGTATTTCCTCCCTATGCTCCCTTCTCTGTGTTTTGGATTAGTAATGTATATCCTGTGTCATTATATGACGAAAGTATGTGATCTGCCTTTTTATCTTGATTTTACAGGTTAAGAAATTCCATGAATCTCAGAAGAGATTTGAACTTTAGACTTTCAAGTAAGTTTGAGATAGTTCCATACTATGGGGACTTTTGAAGTTGACTGAATGCATTTTTCATTATTATATGGTTATAAACCTTTGAGGGCCAGGGAGTAGAATGTGGTGGCTTGAATGAAAATGGGTTCCAAAAGGAGTGGCACTGTTAGGAGGTGTGGCCTTGTTGGAGGAAGTGTGTCACTGTAGGAGTAGGTTTTGAGTCCTCCTGTGCTCAAGTTATTCCTGGTGTCACAGACCACTTCCCTTTGCCTGTAAGATATAGAATTCTCAGCTACCTCTCCAGCACCATATCTGCCATGTCTTACCATTGTGATAATGGACTGAACCTTTGGACTGTAAGTGAGCCACCCCAATTTAATGTTTATCTTTATAAGAGTTGCTATGGTCATTGTGTCTCTTCACAGCAATAGAAACCCTAACTAAGACAATACCTTCATGAAAATTTAAAAACTCGTGGCATCATTGATAGATAAAGTGAGTTATTCTATGTGAAATACTTAAAATATTGCCTTATTTGATTTGCCATTATTTTCTCTCTTAGTTCATGTTAGTGAACATTTGCTGACCTCCTTACTAGTTTCCAATGTTTTGTTTTTGTGGGGGGAGGCGGGGTTGTTTTACCTGAATGTGTATGTGAACCACATGTGTGCCTACTGTCTACGAAGATTAGAAAGAAAGTCAGATTCCCTGAAACTAGAGTTACAGATAGTTGTAAACTACCATGTGGTTGCTGGGAATCAAACCCAGGTCCTCTAGAAGAGCAGCCAGTGCATTGACTTCTCTCCAGCTACCAGCTGCCAATGCTTTGAAAGAAATGGTAAGATAATTACCGGTTCCTAAGTAAGTTAAATTGTATCAAGGAAGAAAAATGCACAAAAAACTACTTTTGATGAAATAATACATTCTTCAGATCACTATGGCTGAAAAAACAAAGGAAACACATAGATCTGAGAAATAGGAAGTGAAGTTAGCCAGATTTTATGACGAATTACATATGGTGTTGGCAGATGAAAGTTGATTCCCAGGCCTAGGAGACCAGAAAATTTTATCTATTTTCTGAAACTGGAACCTAAACTAAGAAGCTGGTGTAGAAGGAAGGATGTGACATACACATTTCAAGTATACTGAGTTTGGGGTATTGATGGGACAGGCAGTTATAAGAGCTATCTACTGACTGACACACTTTCTCCTGCCTTTGCTCATTCTAAAATATAACTGTAAAATGATGTAATGGAGCACTTATCAGCTATTTATGAAAACCATCAAAATCCAAGATGCCTTTTTTGTTCTCTTTGTCCCCCACAAGCATGCTGTTCTTAAAAAGAGAACTATTTACCATTTCCCACTAACAATAAGCTTGTGACTCTGAGCATAGAGTTTGGAAAAAATGGGCCAGGCGATAGTGCTGCGCACCTTTAATCCCAGCACTCAGGAGGCAGAGGCAGGCGGATCTCTGTATGTTTCAGACCAGCCTGGTCTACAAGAGCTATTTCCAGGACAGGCTCCAAAGTCACACAGAGAAACCCTGTCTCAAAAAAGAAAAAAAAAAAAAGAGATAGTCACATAGCCTCTCCTGCATCATTACCCATGATCTAGTGAAGCAGTAACCTAGAGATGGACCACCTAATAGAAATGTGGGAACGACTATCGAGGCACTGGAAAAATTTGTTGTTCACACGACTTTCATAGTCTGTTCTACATATAGAAACTCAGTCTGCAATTAGATGTGCCTCCATGCATGCCTGTGGAGGATTTTTTAAAGATTTTATTTAAGATCTTTTGAAAGATTTATTTTATTTAATTATGTGTACAGGGGTAGGGGAAGCAGGGTGGGCATGAGGAGCACATGTAGATGCAGGTATTCACAGTAGCCAATAGAGGGTGTCAGGTCCGATGGAGCTGGAAGCAATGAACTGCCCAGTGTGGATACTAGGAATCATACTCAGGTCCTCTGGAAGAGAAGCAAGTGCTCTTAACCACTGAACCATCTCTACAGCCCCGGGACTGTCTTGATTACCTTATTTGAAGTGAGAAGACCTGCCCAATGTGGGTGGAACCATTCCCTTGATAGGGGATCCTAGACCTCACAAGAGTGGAAAAAATCATCTGAATACTAATGTACAGCACTTTCTTTGCTCTCTCTTCTGCCTTTGGAAAGACCACTTCTTAAATGCCTGACACTGAGACTTTGCTGTCAGCCATAATGAACTACAACCTGGAACTGTGAGCAAAATAAACCCTTTTTTCCTTTTAAGCTATTTTTATCAAGGTGTTTGATCATAGCAATAGGCAAGAAATTAAAAGAGTTCATAATATACTTTATACCTAAACCTCATTTACTTTGGTAATGTACAACAATGGTTGACTTGGGGCATTGAATTCGGTGTCTTTCGTTGTTCTTTTGAAATTTGTTGTCTATGTTTTATTGCAAAAAGTTTTTTTAATGAACACATTTGAATTTTCACACATGCATTATATATGCTGAAAAGAGAAGAGTAACCTGAAAAATGAAATAGAGACCCGAATAGGTCCAGACCTTTCCATTCCTCAATGTGTGTGCACTCTGGAAGGTGACGCTCCCTAGGTGGTTTATCCAGTGAACCTGGACGGACAAAGCAACTGTGCTGGGGCAGTACTCACATGCGCACCATTTTCCAGCAAGGCCTTAGCACAGGCCACATGACCCCCAAGGCATGCCTCATGGAGGGAGGAGACCCGGTTAATTGTCACAAGATTCACATTGATACCCTGCAGTTTGGAGAAAAAAACACAAGTAAATGATGCGTCAGCTAGAGCAAAGCAAGAATGTTGTTCACGGGGTTTCTGCTTGGCACAACTGGGTCAGCGCAGTGGCACTAGCACCATATAAAATAGAGTGAAAGCCATGACTGTGGGATGCTACACACAGCACTGGGAACTGGAGAGATGATCCAGAATATAAGAGTGAGCATGAGTCTTGCATAGAACCCGAGACTGATTCCCAACACCCACATCAGGCTGCTCACAACTGCCTATAACACCAGCCACCAGATTCTGGAGCAACTAATGTCTCTAGCTTCCTAGGATATTTACACACACACACACACACACACTGAAAAATAATAAAAATAAATCTATAAACACGGTATGGAGCCTCAGAGTCATTTGTTCTGGTTCAGGCAATGTGCTAAGGCATGGGTCTTTGAAATTTATGACCTAAGCCTCTCTCCTACAAGAGTCTACTAGAAGGAAGAAATTTAAATAACAACAAAAAACAAAAGGAAGCATGTTGAAATTTCAGCTGGGAACATGGAATATTCTAAAAAGTCTGGTTTGGGGAAGGAGAAAAAAATCACCAGACATAGTGGTGGACACCTTTAATTCCAACACACAGGGTCAAAGGCAGGAAGATGTCTGTGAATTCAAGGCCAGCCAGGTCCATACAGCTAGTTCCAGAACAGCCAGAGCTGCATAGAAATAACATATCTAAAAATGTATTAATTAAATACAATTAAAAGATTGTTTTACAGAAAATGTATTTATGATTTTAAAGAGTAAATGTTTGATCTACACACTTATTATTCTATAGTATGTGTAGTACAATAGACACAGAGAGAAAGTTTAAAGGGCATAAAATTTCTCTGGTGAAGGGGTATTGAGAAAAGAAAGTTTAAGAACAGGGCTTCAAAGGCCCTGCATATCTCACAATTAGCAACTATCTTCTCCTTTTTCCTCTATCTTCCCCATTTATGATTTCCTTTTAAGAAATAAATACTTGATATTCTGTGATAGTAGAAAAGAAAAGAGAAAAGGAAAGGCAAATGAAGGAAAAGGAAAAACTGAAAAGGGAGTGGAAAAGAAAACAATTTAAAGGAGTCTAGTCCACGAGGGGGCAGCATTGTACTAGAAACACACCTACAGTTCAAAACTCGGACTGCAATGGAGAAGAGACATGAAGCAGGCCTGAAGGACCATCTAGGTCAGCTGTTCTCAACCTTCCTAATGCTGAGTCCCTTTACTACAGTTCCTCATGTTGTGGTGACCCCCAACCATAAGATTATTTCATTGATACTTCATAACTGTAATTTTGCTACTGCTAATGTAAATATTTGATATGCAGGATATCTGATATGTGATCCCTGTGAAAGCCATTTGACCCTAAGAGGAGTCGTAACCACAGGTTGAGAACCGTGGATCTATATTGGAGTCTCTTAATTGTGCATGAGAACATGGACATACAGAAAATGCAAATCATGTTAAGACTTGAGGTTACCCAGCTGTCAGTGACATCCTGAATTGATGCTTTACTTGCATTTGCTGAAGGTAGTTGAATGTTTTACTCACATTTAGCACATGACCTAAATGTAAACAAGCTTTTAAAAATAGAACATAGGAGCCAGAAAGATAGCTCAATGGGTAAAAAGACTTCACACACACACACACACACACACACACACACACACACACACACACACGATAAATCTTAAATAATAACAGACTGTATTTTTGACTAGTGCAAAGAGCGAAGTATTGAGACTGTAGCAAGAAAAAGTTGAATTCTTCTGTATAATGCCCCTACACACTCAAATCACACTACTCACATAGCATCATTTTAGAGTAGTGGTGATATCATTAATGACATACTTGGGCCCCCTGGTGCCTAACTATAACTCCAGCACTTGGGAGGTAGAGGTACAAAGATTATGAGTTTAAGGCCAGCCTCTATTTTGAGGCCTGTCCAGACGATGTGAGGCTCTGACTCAAAGAGCAAAGAAAAAAACCAAAGGCAATAGAATAAAATGAAATTTAAAGTGTCTACAAATTAATAAACAAGTTGGGTGGTGGTGGTGCATGCCTTTGATCCCAGCACTAGCACTGGGGAGGCAGAGGCAGGTGGATCTCTGTGAGTTCAAAGCCAGCCTGGTCTACAGAGTGAGTTCCAGGACAACCAGGACAGCCAGGGCTACACAGAGAAACCCTGTGGTCTGGCAAAACCAAAACAGACAAACAAGAGCTCTCTATGGCAGGACACTTGCCTAGCACATGCAGGACCTGGGGGCCATCATCAGCACCTAAGAAAGCCCTGTGTGGAGGAGGTAAAATAGTAAATCAGTAGTAGAGAATTGCCTGGCGTGTGAGGCCCTGAGTTCAGTCGGAAACACAACTCGATGGAAAAATAAATCAGTGACAAGATCAGATACAAAATCCATCATTGCTAACAGCTCCGTTCTCCTTTTGCCTCTATCTCCATTTTCATGGTATTTTTGAAGTGCCGGAGACCACATGCAGAGCCTTGATGATGGTATTCTCTTAAAACGGCACAGCTGTGAAGTTGGGGATGTAGCTGAATTGGTAAAGCGCTTGCCTAGCTCGCATGAAACCTGGGTTTGATCCTCGGCCCAGCATAAATTGGGTATGGGACATGTTTTTAATTCCAGCACCTGGGAAGTGCAAGTAGGAAGATTCGAAGTTCAAGGTCATCTTGTGGTATGGCTAGAAAGCTGAAGACTGGCCTGGGATACTATGTCTCAAAAGCATGGGGTCATCGAGATGGCTCCGCAGGTAAGGGCAATTGCCACCAAGCCTGATGACCTAAGTTGATCCCCAGTGAACATGGGTAAAAGAAGAGAAGCCCTACTACTAACTTGTCTGCTAAATGCTCACAAGGGCATGCCCCCTCCACCCCTATGCACACACACATAAATATTTTACAAAAAATAGAAATTTAAAAGCAAAAATCAAAACCAAACAAAAGTAATAAATCAGTAAAAAGGGAGAGATACACATAAAATATCACTATCCTAGCTGTTCAAACACAAAAGAGGAAGACATTTGAAAATGGTTAGGTGATAGAGAGGACAAGGAAAAGAAAGCACAGTGACTCACTTCTTCTGCTCGCACGTAGAGTCCAAAACAAATAAAGCAAATGGAAGATATACTTTCATTTGTTTCATAAATCTTTTCTCGGATGTTTGTTCAACCTGCGGGGGATTCAGTCGCCAATACAAACACAGGGCTGTTAACAACTACGACTTTCCTAAATCTTCCCTAAGGCCTGAAATTTATCTGATTATTAACCTATTTGAGAGCCTGGTCTTGAAATGTGCATTGTTAAAGTGGGCAGTCTCCCAGTTAGTACCCAGTTATGCCCATTTCCTAAGGCTGCGTCAGTGGATAATGCTTTCTCCTTGAATGTGAATGGCACTTACTGACTTACATCAAATGAGTGTGTATGGTAGGGAGAGGAATGATGTCACTTCAAAGATTAGGCTTTAGAAAAGTGAAGGGACTGTAGAGCTGGTTCAGCAGTGAAGAGCTCTGGCTGCTCTTCCGGAGGACCCACATGGTAGCACACAACTCCCTGTAACTCTACTCGCAGAAAAGAATCATGCGCCCTCTTCTGGTTTCTGAGGGCACTGCATGTACATGGTCCACAGGCACACATGCCAGTAAAATACCCACACATATAAAATCATAATGAAGGTTTTTTTTTAATGTGACTTCCTTCTTAGGCACCCTCTCTAGAAAGACGGTTACTACTTCATAGCACAGCTCTGTGATGAAGACCCCTGTGACTATATGTATAAACAGATCTCCCCTCCCCTCCCCATGAATCATCGCATGACCTAGCTGCCACTTCTCTGCTTGGAAGCTGCACCCCAAGCTCTTAGACGCCTCAAATATCCAAGTGTTTGTTGTTGATTGGAGTCGCCATGCATTGAGGTGATTCATAACACATCAATTGACTACAAATGCAATCTCAAGACTGAAGGAGCATGAGGTGCATTAGTATAACACAAATTTGGGGGCCCCCTTCATTGTCCTTTAGAGGGACACTTCCTGTCAGGGAAATGTGGAGCCAAAAGGGAAATGAGGAAAAGTGGGCAGAAAATGAGGCAGCTCCTAGAGAAAGCACATTGGGTGGGGGAGGGGCAAGGTGGAGATGCCTGGAATGGCAGTGTTGGCACCTGAGCACAGCTATAGCCAAAGCTAATACAGAGAGATTTTGGATTGGAGCAACAGTGGAGGACAGTCTTTGGTTTACTTACTTGTGCAATTAAAGTTTTAAGAGCCAGTAAGCGCCCCTGGGCTGCGGCCTCGTGGAGTGGGGATCGGTCAGCCCAGCAGTCTGAAACACAAATCAAGCTCCTGGTCAAGTTCAAGAGACTTCTTCCTGAAGCTATCCATGCTTCCCACCCACTGCGGGCCTTGAGGGAAGAGATGAAACCCAACGCTCACCACGCATCAGGACTTGCTGGATACAGGGAGCTGAGTGGGCACAGTGGTTCATGCTGCCTTTCCATGGGCAGTTTTAACAAGGAATAAATTTTTATTTTCAAATACGCAAAGCCAAGGGCTTGTTCCTGATAACTCTAAAGTCAAGTGAAGGACTAAATGCACCAATTATTTTTTTATTTCCCAAACTTTCATCTCACCTCCAGTCATACCACCAAAATTCAAAACCTGTGTACTACAAAGAAAATCCAAAGATAAAGGAAGAGAAGGCCAGAATACGGCTCAGTGGAAGAACACTTGTCAAAGCCCCAAAAAAGAAAACATGAAAGAAGAAAGAGAGAGGGGGAGAAATAAAGGAAAAGAAAGAGAAAGAAAGGAGAGAGAGAGAGAGAGAGAGAGTGAGAGGATGGAATGAAAAAAGGAAGAAAATGTTTTCCTGAACTGCTGAGGTGATTTTCTCTGATTCTTCTGATAGTAATATCTATGTATTTTAATGTAAAGTATCCTTTTCAGATGATAGGATTCCCCAAAGTTTACCCTACAAAGCTATGCACATGGGGCTGGCAGAGCCAGGCCGCCTGGGCTCAGGTCCTACTTCAATACTCTCTGCACAGCAGCATGTTGCTGGAAGCATTTGAATCTCACTTTCCTTATGTGTAAACCAGAGATACAGTAATCTATTTGGCAGGGCTCTCAAAAGGCCAATCAAGCAATCAAGTTTATCCACAGAGTCAGGTGCTCAAGGCCATTTGTGATCAATTAATAAGTAGACATTGCAGGGCAACTCTCTAAGGGCCAGGCTCCAAACTGTTTTATGATTGCATTCATTTTTCTGCAATTCTCTACCAGTAAGACTGACCAGCTTCAATGGGCATTTGAGAAGTAATTGTATGTGAAAAAATTCCAAAGGACAATCATCTGTTTTGGAAGCAGACCTGCTCCAGTTAGAAAGATCTGTGATTTTAAAAGTGTGACTGTCAAAGGGACCTTCTGAGAGAAGTCTTCTAACTGATCCCGATGGTGGCCAGAGTTCAGGCATCCCATTGTCCACTAACTTGGTAAAAACAAAATTCCACCAGAAATGGAAGTGTGTAAGTTTGAAATACTTGAGCAATTGGTATGAAAATGTGATTTTCAAAATATGTAGATATAAAAGTAAATCTAGACAGACAGTGTAGTTGTGCCCTGAGAATATCTAAACTAGGATTACTTGAAGAAATAACTGACTCCAGGATAAAGAGGTGTGTGTGTGTGTGTGTGTGTGTGTGTGTGTGTGAGTGTGAGAGAGAGAGACAGACAGACAGACAGACACAGAGAGAGACAGAGACATAGAGAGACACGGAGAGAGGGAGACAGAGAGACAGAGACTGACACAGAGACACAGAGAGAGACAGAGAGAGGGAGAGGGAGAGAGAGAGGGGGGGTCCTCTAACAGAAAGGAAGGACGGGGAAAGACAGAAAATGTCAAAAAGATCGAGAATGACTCAAAGGGACTTCTTCTAGTCAAATGTGGGACAATTTGCACATCAAAATAAGCAATAAGAAAACACATGCTATCAAAGCAGTCCTTGCTGATGTAAGTAATACACCAATATGGATAAGGTGCTTCTTCCTGAAGACACCGACTGAAAAAAATGTAGCAATAACAGGATCAGGTTCAAATTATCACTATACTAATTACAAAGGGAGAGCGCATAATTTTATACCAGAAAAAATGTAGAAAAAATCTTTACCAGTCAAGTTGGCATCATGTGCCATCTGGCTGAATGCAATGAGTCACAAGGTATGGCATGAGAGGGAACACAGTGTGAAGAACACACTATATTCCTGCCTGTATTATTCATGGCCCAAAGCATTACTTGACTCCTAGCAGCAAACCCTGCAGCAGCTCACACAGAGGGGCAGTCTATAAATGAATTGGCCTGGAGCCAGTTGCAGGAGAAATAGGGAACTTTCCTAGAAGGTGAGCGTGGAAAGCAAGACATAGCATCTGAAAGCGCTCTTCGACCTGGAGTGGGACCCCTTTGCTTGAAAAGATATCATTGGAGCAGTTAGTTAAAAATGAATGGAGGGCTTTGGCAGGAGACTGGGAATTCTTGGTACTGATCTTATAGCTTTTCTGTTAAAACTAAGTCTAGAAAATAATTTTTAACCAGGAGAAAAATAAACAGTTTAACAAATGACTTGTCATCTCGTACTCCTGCTTTGAATGTGAAATGCTTTTATAGCAAAGAAAAAATATAAAAGGATTTGATATAAAGAAACCTGCTGTGTTTTGTCTCTATTGATTTCTGCATTGGTTCAAAGCTAATGACTGTGACAGTTACCTAAAGGGAAGTGTTTCTCATTGTACCACTCTGTCCACCCCACATCTCCAAGGAACAACTATAATTAAGGTGAATTGTCTTTGCAGAAGAACGGGACCTTTGTAAGATTAAAGGTGTAAGAGAACTGGTCAGGTTGGGGAGAAGTATACATCGTGTTGGTTCTTAAGGATACCCAGATTATCACATTCAGGCAAATTTCCCCAAGAGCAAAAAATTATATCCTGTAGCAAAGTGGAGCCCAAAGCACTCCATGACAGTAAAACAGACGAAAAATGGTAATAATTGACATAAAGGGGAGAATGAATTTTTAAGTCAGATTAACCAATAATTTTTTTACATATAATTTACATCTTGTGGACCTTGCTTGGCTAGCCACCATGACAATGAATAGTGAATCCCAAGATATGGCATTCTAGCATTCTTTTCCGTGTCCTTGTTTTCATTTACTGAATGCTGTAGCGTTTCATACCATGCCTGAGTAGAAACACTAGCTGCAAATCAATTCTACTGATGAAATGGTTAACTTAGAGGACAAAGCCCAGCTGGGGAGCAGAATGTTTCTGAGTCTTCTTGAACATCTCTTTGCATTTCATCTTTAGGATCCTTCTCATACATCTCCATCTCAGTCCTTGGCAGGTATGCATCGGCCATGTTGGACATGAACACAGGCACAGGACGGGGGGGGGGCGGCATTCAGGACAGTCTTTACCCACACTAGCAGTGCAGCAGCCTGAACACCAGAAGCAGCAAATCTTCAGCATGCCTTTGGCATTCTGTTCTTCTAATGATAGCTAGTCAGCCCCAGGTGCCCGAAGAACTACAGGTTAAGCATGTCTACTCAGGCGATCAAAATTTTAGAAAAAAAATTAGAACACTCCAAAATGCAAAATTTGGGAAGCACTGACACAACATTTCGCACACATAGAAATTCCACCCCCATGAAACTCAGATCCATGCCCCCAAATTATTTTAAATGTAACATGAAATTTCATGAATGAATTTAGTATTTAAGCCAGGGTTCCCTCACCCAAGATATCAAATATTCTGAACTCTGGGAGAGGAAAAAAAATCTGAAATCTAAAACATCTGGTTCCAAGCATTTTAAGTAAGGGAGACTCATTCTGTAGAGATAACCTGTTCAAACATAAAAACAAGATTAAGCAGCCACCGAGTCCTAAAAGAATTGACTTAGGATATCAACAAACTGCATTTGTAATCCCTAAAACTTGACTCTGTGCAGGCAAGGAAAGAAGGAAGGCATACTCACCTTGGGTGCTAGCAGTCAAAAGCAAATTGGGGAGGGGTGGGAGCTGACGGGAATTAGGCATGGTAGGAGCCATACTGACAGTAGTCTCTCACACTTTGGAGCTGGCCCGGCTTGTTTTCACTGAGCCCTTGTGGATGTCTCTGTACTCAGGTCTTTAAATGACTCCGCCCCCTCCTAAACTTGTACTCCATATCTCTCCCCACTCTCAGCAGAGAACACGGCTCTCTCTGGTCCACCAAGCAGCTAGAGGTAGGTCCAAGGGACAGCGTGTTCTTCACGTGCCTCCCACCTCTTTCGTTCAGGTGCCAGTGTCTTGGGTGCTTTGAGGATGAATAGAAGCAAGGGGGACAGGGCAGATGACTCCCAGTTACCTGGAAGAGGCAGTCGGTCCCACTCAGCATGTCACGGGATGAGCTAGCATTCATAGTACTCCTACCCACACTGTTGAAACCAACATTAGGACACCAAGACTGGATTTTTTTAAAAATTGGATTTGGTAGACTTTGGCCAAACTTAGGAAAGGGGAAAACACCCTCTTGATCACTTTTTTACTTTCCCTGTAGCCATCTTACAACGTATAGAAAGGATGGGACAATAGTCAGGGGGCATGAACATTCAGCTGAGTAAGAGCTGCCTGCAATCTTCTTCCAGATGAGTTCTTGCCTTTCTGATGCTACAGTCACTATTGGAAGTCTCTCACATGGGGTTTCTTGGGGTGGAGGGACTTTCAGTATCATGAGCTCTACTGTTAAGTGTTGCAGATTTCTCTCTGGGCATGTGATCCCTGCACCATTAGGCCTGCTCACCAACTGCTTGCTTACCCATTGGCAGTGCCTTACCTCCTCTAGAGTTTCCTTATCAATGCAGTATCCTTGGATGCCCCCCAACTCTCACCCAAGATTCTGAGGTCACTTGGGTAAGTCTGTGGCGTCATCTGCCACTGCACCCAGAAAGAGGGACTGGAGTTTGCATAGGGTTTCTTTCTTACTTCATCTCTGCTTTGCAACTCCATCTCCATGGCCCGCCCCCAGGTTGTATAGCACAAGGGAACAATTCACTCAGGCATCTGCCTAAGCAGATTCTTTCCCTTATCTGCCCCTTGGATAAAGCCCCATGACCTCCACGAGAGAAGAGGAGAAGATTGTTTTGTGCATAAGAACACCTCGAAATGAATGACAACCATTTTGCTCCTACTAAAAAGCTCTCATGGTTAGTAAGCATTAGAAATAAGACAAAAACTCGGGCTTAGGGACTTCAGAAAAGACCTTGCTCTATTTTTAAGAACTATTGATCTCTGAATTCTGCCTATTCTTGTGCTCCATTCACTTGTATTGGGACGCTTTGGCTTCAGGTTATTCCTGCTGAGAGTGTGAAACAGGTGCTGGGGATGTAGGTAGCTAAGTTGTTAAAGTGCTGGCCTAGCACACAAGGAAGCCCTGGCATTATATAACCCAGGGAAGGTAGAGAGAGCATGCTTCACTCTAGAGAAGGGGACCTAAGGAAGGATCAGAAGTTCAAAGTCATCCTAGGATACACAGAGAGTTTGAAGACAGCCTCAGACTGAGACTGTCTCAGGGGAAAATGTTTGAGATGAGTATGGTGGTGTACACCTGTATTATCCCAGCACTTGGGAAACTAGCAGATCTCTGTGAGTTCAAGACCAGCCTGGTCTACATGGTAAATTCCAAGCTAGCCAGAGCTGCATAGTGAGACCCTGTAAAAAATGTGCAATAAATTTTTGTATTCCCAACTGGAATCACCATTACTCTCCAGGAAGTAACCTTTTCTGTCCCACTGTTGATGACTGCCCTCTACAAAGCACCTGAAAGAGTTTTCACCCAAATATATTCCTGAATTTGTCACAGTGAAGATCGCCTTGTTTTTATTCTTGTTCCCAACAAAGTATCTCATACACTTCTAAGTTGCAAAATGGAGCAAACTGTAAGAAATTAAGGTTTAAAATTATTTGGCAGATGCAGATTTTTTCCATTGCTTTTAGTAAATATGTAACCAAGCTCTCCAAGTACATGAATACTTAAATAGGACTCAATCACACTCTTCCAAGATACTCTATTTTTACTCCCTTGGCACCCTGCCTGGGTCACAGGGCTGCAAATATATTATGAAGATAGTTTACAGATATATTCGTGCCTGATGAGGTGTAGAGAAAATACTCAAGTGTGTTTTCACTGCTTCTTTCACATCTTCTTTCAAACCATGGTTTGTAGCTCTGCCTGGTTCTCGGAGTCTTTGAATAAAATTCATAGTAGCCCCCAAATCATCTATTTAATAACAATATCCATTCAGAGAGAATATGTTTTAGTTCCAAGAATTCAAAATAAAAGTCAATAATTCTTTTACACTTTTTCAAGGATTTTACCTTGTCAAATTTCAACAACAATGTGAGACATTCTAGAAGACTGCCTGTTTACAATATATGGTCCACATGGTGTGCAATCTTTGTTCAAGCTTTGAAATCACAGGAAGCAACATCTATGACATTTATCAAAGAGAACAAAAGTCATAAATCTCATTTCTGAATCAAAACATTGGTAAGAACTTAGAATTAATGAGATTTTAAGAACATGGGGGCTCTTTGGGAAAAACATATTATAAAGAAAATTCCCATACCTGAAATATCATAATATAATGGAGTCAAATGAATATTCACTAGAACATGAAGTTCTGATCAGATGAAGTTTGGTCAGTGACCTGTATTAAGAAGTCTCCTTTGAACCCATTAGGGGCCAGAGAGCTGAGCTACAGGTAACGTGTGGAGGCAGAAATTCGGCCAGGAACTCGTTGTCCCTACTTGGAAACAGTCATCAGGCACCTAAGATATGAACCACTCAGAGGACAGTTAGGTCAGGGTTTAAGGAAATAAAGAGGGAACTAAATAAGGCAAAAGGCTAGGTAGGTGCTGAGACAAAAAAAGGAGCAAAGGCAAGAATACTGAAGTGCAATGAACAGGAGTCAGGCACAGTGGTGGCTGTCCAGTAAAACTCAGGCCCTTTGGAACAAAAACTAATGATTTTGAATGTAGCACTTGGAAAATGAAATAATGTTTTAGCCTTCCCTGAAAATTGTTCCCTTTCCCTTTTCAGAGAAGATTCTATTATTCTACAAGCTCATATCTACAACTGTAAAATGTTCCAAATTCTAAATCCCTCACCCAACTTTACGGCTACAGCTTTGGCAGAAAACATGGCCAGGATTCAGGTTAAGCAATTGCTCCTTTTCTTTTGTGTTCATTGTGTGCAAATGTTTGTATACTACAAGAACTGGGTAATTTTGCCTTGAACTGATAGTCTTTCTAAATCAACTCACTAACTTACTGAGTACCTGTCATATTTTTTCAAACAAACATTTGTCTGACAAATGAACTGAAAAGATGATTTCTGGTTTGAGAATAACACTGTCCCAAAATTTTTTATTTTTTTCAACACAGTGTTTCACTAGGTAGCCATGGATATACTGGAACTCACTGTGTATACAAGGCTAGCCTCCAACTCATCAATTTTCTACCTGCCTCTGCCTCCCAAGTGCTGCAATTAAAGGTGTGCACCACTATTCTTAGTTCACAAAGTCCTGCTGCTGCTTTACATATGTAACTATAAATAATGACAAAAGAAAAATAACGGTTAGAATCATGAAAAAGGAAAATAAAAGCCCTACTGTTTTGAACATGTAACTGTCAGTTTATTATAGAAAGATATCAAATCTGAGTATACTGTCATAAAAGTGAGATGTATAAGGACACACATAAACATAGACAAATGTACACATATATATTTATATATACATGTGTGCGTGCACACACACACACACACACACACACACACATACACACAAAATGAATAAACTAGACTTTAACAGTATCTGAAAATGGGCACCATACCAGCATCCTGAAAAAGATGGCTATCCTAGAGAATCAATAAGGCTCCTAAGGAGATTTGAAGTTTTGCTCCGGATGAAAATCCAAAGCATGCCTACCAGGTTCTGAGTCCTCTAACACCCCCAGAAGCACACTTCACTAAGGACCACAACAGGAGTCATGCACACAAACAACTGGAGAAAAACGTTTACACTCTGCCGATACTATCCCAGTTAGATTTTGCCTAATTCAAATCACAAGGAGGATACATCTAACAGAACATCAAATGCTAGAAAGTCCCTGTCCACATTTATAAGTCAGAAATACCTTTCTACTTACTTTGAAGCAAAAGAGAAGCATTAATGTTTTCTCCACCAAAGTTACATACCTCCCTGAAATGTGTGACAGATATAATCCCCAAAAGAAATTTCTTTCCACAGTCCAGGCCTGCTGACACTTTCTTCCCCAGTTAACTGAAGCATTCTGATGCTTTGTCTTAGAGTTCTTGTTTCTTTATGTAAGACCACTGATGCCTAGAGTTTTCCAAGTTGTCTAGTCCATTGAAATCACAAAGCACGTCTATTTTGAAAGAGAATCCTGGATGCAAATTGAAACAGACACCAACTGAAGCATGATGCAATCCAGGAACTCCTGTGAACACTAAAAATACATACAGCAACTCTGAACAGTGTTTATGAATCTCATCATCTTAGACACATCCTCCTCCATAAAGTGGCAACCCCAGCAATGAGGGCATAGCTGCTTCAGTTACTTTTGCAGTATCTCAACAGAATTAAGGAGAATTATTTCTTGAAAGGGATGTATATTGGCTTCTACAAGCACGGGACTTTAAGATGTTTTATGCTTTACCAAAAATCTTAGCAATTCATCTTGTGATAATAACCTTCATTTTTGGTGCTTTCTGTAGAGTCACCTGTGTACAAATGGGTTTAGTGAAGTTTTCCTGTGACAAATGGTCGATCAATTCCATTTGCAAATGACACCAGAAGATGCATACCTACAACATACCACACTGACTGCTTTTCAATCAAATTAATTGGTAACTATATTTCCCAAGGAAACTTAGTCTTATTTTAACGCTCTTTCTTGTTAGTTTGACTGAAAGTATTAAAAAAAATAATGCTATAATGTAATTCTCTTTTGGTTAGTAGAAAGTGTCTCCATAGCCTTTATAACCCACTATTCTGTTTGATTCTTAAATAATAATTATGACAAGATCCACTAACTTGCAAGAAAATAAAACTGAAGATCCTTCAGAACTTGGTGCAAGCAACATCATTTGCTACTTCAAGTGATAGATTAACTTTAAAACTACACACTCAGCACAAACATACAAGGAAAGCTTACCTTCCAGAAACACTATTCATCGGAATTTTCCAAGAGGAATTTTTGAGGTGTTGGGAATAAATTCAAGTATTTTTTACCTGACAGGCCACCATAGATCTCTTCTGCTATCCTAGCTGCCTCTTTTCTGTTTCCTTTGACGATATAGAAATGGGTTAGGAGAGCCAAGAAAACTTTAATTAAAAGCTTGAAGAAAAAAAATGTTGCAAACATTGTCAGAAAAATGTTTTTAAAGCCATAAAAAGCAGGACCATCTTCCATTTTGCCTTCTTCTCAGCATAGGTTCCTAGGGCTGCAAATTTTTACTGAGTTATAATTGGCATCATATGACATCTATTTTAAACCTCCTAGCACTTAGCGCTCCTGTTACCAAGAACTCTGTCTGTAGGTTCTAATCTAACTCTGTTGTGGAGACTGGGTGTGTTGACATTTATGGCAATGTTGAACAACTTCCTTCTAATAAGAAACACTCAACGCTGGCCTGCAGAGACGGCTCAGCAATAAAGAGCACTGGACTGACTCCAGCACATGGCCACTGAAGACCATCTTTAACTCCAGTTGCAGTGGATCCAGTGGTCTCTTCTGGCCTCTGTAGGCACCAGGCATGCACATGGTACACATATAGACATGGAATGAAGCACCCACACATGTGAGACAAATAATAAAATAAAAATGTTAAAAATACTTGGTGTTCACAACCTACATTGAATTTGATCAAAACATATTAGATCCATGTATACAACAAGGAAAAAAAAGGAATTCCTATCCTAACCTCACTTCCATTTTCCTTCTAAACCCCTATTTTTGGTATTGTATGTTGGAAAATGGGATTGGAAAGATCAAAGGAACTTCTACATTGCTAGCTATAGTAACAAAGCAATAAAGAAAGTGGGAATATACTATATACTGTGTTCATCATAGAAAATACTGTTCATGGGGGTACTTCACTTGCTTTTCATGTGGAGGTTTACAAAGGATTAATCCCAAATCTAAACTATGACTAGTCAAACCAACAACAATAACAACAACAACAAAAGAAACCCTCTTGGCTTTAAGGTAATATCAAATACAAGACCTATCTTGTTTCTCTAAACGAAAGTTTGAATGTGACAGAAGTACTCAAATGATTATGGTGACAGGTACTGACAACTGTGACAGTTCCCTCAGCAAGGTTCTTTTTTTTCCCAGTATGACATCTTTATTTTCTGCTCCCAAAGTATACAGTGTCTTCAGCAATACAGTCTTATCATCCAGTTCTGGTAGACCACCAAGTGTATTGCCAATAGCCTATATTCCCTTGTGGGACTCAGGGGTTTTTGTTTTGTTGTTTTTCCATACCAGTCACAATTTCCTATCCCTCCTCTCCTCTTGTTTCCCCCGCCACCTCCCTTCTACACCTCCCCCCACCCACTCTTCCTCTATCTCCTTTTAGGACTAAGGTCTCCCATGGGAGTCAGCAAAGCATGACATATCAAATTGAAGTAGGATCAACCTTCCTTCTTGATCATTTCTGTTTGAAGCTTCAGTGAAGATGGGATTCCCTGGAGAATGTGACCTATCCTTGATCATGGAAGTGTGATAACAAAATGGATGAATGCTATGCCCTAGCTTCCAGGTGAAGTCACCATAGATTCCATGACTCAGTATCTTCCTTAGCTGGGCAGTGTTCCCTTTTCAGCTGGCCAATACAGTAAAACTGATTTGTTTTTAGTCTCCCTCACTAATACATTTCTTCCTGTTTATATGAGTTTTTTTAATTTCTAAAATCTACTGAATTAATACAATCAATTGTATTAATCAGGAGTCGCTAGAGGAACAGAACTTATAAAACAAATATATAACTTGCCAGCAAGAGGCAGAGCAAGCAGGCAACAAGCAAGCTTCCTTCTTCCATGCCCTTCACATAGGCTGCCAGCAGGAGGTGTCCCAGATTATAGGTGGATCTTTCCACCTCAAAACCTGGGTTAGAAATAGGTCTTCTTGTTTCAAATGATTTAAGAAAAAAAAATCCCTCCCAAGTGTGACCAGCCATCTGGGTAATTCCAGCTGACAACCAAGGATAGCCACAGAAACTCAAAGCACAATTTTAAGAATAGAATTTTTTAATGCTTTATGTATATGAGTATTTTACCTTTATGTATATATGTGCACTACATGAGTGCCTGGTGCATGTGGAAGTCAGAAGTGGGAGTTGGCTCCTCCAACTGTAGATACTGATGTCTGCAAGAACACGTGCTCTGTCTTACTGGCTGAGCCATCTCTCTAGCTCCAAGAGCAGTTTTTCAATAAATTCTTTAACATAAAAATAATGGAGTTTTCCAGCAAATTAGAATAACTACCTCTATAATAACTGATATAGTCAACTTTTCTATTCTGGTTTTTGTTTGTTTGTTTGTCTGAGACAGTTTCTCTGTGTAACACCTCTGGTCCAAGCTTGCAGAGATCCCCCTACCTCTTGAGTGCTGGGATAAAAGGCATGTACCACCATGCCCAGCGTAAATTCTCCAAACCTTTTAAAGGTATCTCCTCGGAGACAAGACCATCCTCCACCTCCTAGCTGATCCCCACTGAGTCATAGCTTAATATATAATTAACAATAAAATTAACTTCCCTAAGTACTGGAAAATACAAATTCTATGTAGAAGGTTAATTTGTGTGATTCCATATTTAAAAATCTGGCCAGAGGCTGAGAAGTTAGTTCAGTTAGTAAAGTGCTTGTCTTAAAGAAGGAGGACCTCATTTCTATCTCCAGAAACCATGTTAAAACCTGCCATGTCCTTCTAACCCCAGCACTGGGGAAGCAGGAACAGGCAGATAGATGTCTGGGGTTTGCTGGCCAGTCAATTTAGTCTGCTTGGTGGTTTCCGGCTCAGCAAGAAACACTGGTCTCCAAAAGAGATGGATGAGTGACAGTGGAATGCCAGGCTCCAAACAGGACATGTATACCACCACACCAAGGTTCAGGGAACACGGAAGAGGAGGCAGAAAGAATGTAAGAGCTGCAGGATGGGAGATGTGCTGCAAAGAAATACATTCTGGATATGACCATTTCTCTTACAAACTCACCACAGTTGTGGTTACCTGTACAAAATGGAGCCCATCAACATTCCATTCCATCAGCAAGGCGGGAGTGCTCTGAGGATGGACGCCCAACCTCAGGAACTATTGGCAATCAATGGTTGTTGGGGGAGGGATGCCATTTTGTTCAGTAGTGTAGCCACTGATAAGTTGACTGTGTGCCAATAGAAATCTCCTACCCACACTCTTACAAACAAATATCATTGAAGACTTAGCAAGAAGGCTTTCAATGGGAAAGGAGGGGAAATGAGGAGGGGCATGAAAATAGCCAAAATCCATTATATAGACATATGAAAGTCAAATAAAAATAACATTTTTAAAATCCCCCTGAATTTTATTTGTCAAAGAATCCATGACATAATAAAATATTCTGCTTTCCTCTTTTTTAAGTGGATGCTTGTGGAATGACACTAAAAACTGCTAACCTCTATACATACATGCACACGGATATGCACTCGTACCCATCCAACCCCCCAATCCAGCCACAGTATAATCTCATTTTAGATCAAGCCACCTGGGAGCTGGAGAGATGGCTCAGCAGTTAAGAGGACTGGCTGCTCTTGCAGAAAACCTGAGTTAAGTTCCCAGCACCCACACAGGGGCTTATAACCATCTGTAACTCCACTTCCAGAAGATCAAACACCCTCTTCTGGCCTCCCTGGACACCATGCACGTATGCAAGTGTTGCACAGACAAACAGGTAGACGAAACAGTCATAAACACAAAATTTTTAAATTAAAGAAGAAACTTTAAAAGAAGATCAAGCCACTTTCCTTTGTGAGACAAATCTGAACAATGAATGAAAATAATTGCTTACCACTAACTACTCCTAACCCAAAGAATGGGGAACAATAAGCTCTGTAAATAAAATCAAAATTCAAATTTCTCTTAAAACAGCTGGCAACATACAAAGTATAATTACGTAGTTCCCACACACAATAGTGTGTGGATGTATTCATTTGCCTTCTGTGATAACAGTGAAAAACAAGGGCTTATTGGAATCAGGAAACAAAGGTACAATTGAACTTGCTATTTCAAGAATACAAAAGAGCACATATTCTAGAAATAAAAGATGACAGAGTGGTGCATCAGACAAAGGACACTTCCTGTTTTACTAATAGATCAAGCAACACATTAGATCTACTCAGAAAAGGGGAGAAGGGGGTGTCCCACAAATAAGTAACATCCTGTCAACAAAATAAGACAAACCGAGAAAACACTAAAAGATCATTCTTGTCTTTATTATTGGACACGATCATGTTTTAACAGACCCGTGTTATGTGTGTGACTGTAACATCAAAAGAATACAGTGCCTTTTCAGCAAATTCCTCATCCATGTTAATTTCACTTTTAAGTAATTATGGGTAGCAGGGTGGAACAGAGTTTCCACATACTGACTAGTGCAACGTTGACAGTTATAATTAAGGTATCCAGGAAGCACGAAAATGATTTCTGTCATACAAATAAGTTTATTTTCACTTATTCAAAATAGAGAAAATAATTTTAATTCATATATTACACATTTACACACAAGAGCAAATTAATTCTCAATTCTATTTTTATCTTAAATAAAGAACACCTGAAGCATTCAATAACAATTTTGGCAAAAACTAGAAGCAAACATAAAACAAGAAATGGTAGTATAAAATAAATAAAGCCAAGTGTTTCACATGTCTCAGTTTACCAGAATATTGGCACTGTTTGCTATCTGTCTCAATGCATTAAGTTTCAAAGGCTGAACAGTCGGGACCAGGTCATTTTTCTCCAATAAAAGAAACCCTAGCTTCTGTATTTTAAAAAGTACTCTCTAGCATTTCTGTTTTCATATAAACAAAACACAAATATATCTCTTTTAAATCAGTGGCAACCAGGCAATAGGCATGTTAAGATACTCTTTAAAAAATCTTGCAAATGTCACCATTAAAAAATCCAGTACAGAATCACAATACACAATACTGATAGAATCGAACGCCCACAAGTGCCTTGCTGCTGTTATTTCCATCCTTTTCCCACAAAAACTCATGCAAAAGAGTTCAAAGGATGAATAATACATATCACAGGTAATTTGGGATTAAACAACCCATGGCTCTGGATGATTTGACTACAACTGAGAAATTCCACCCACAAAGAGGCTGCGTGCTCTGAACCTTTCAGACTTGATACTCTATAAATAAACCACGCTGGAGGAAAACCTTTCCATACACTGGCAGCACTCATCAGAGATCAGCTAGGCCATAGAAATGGGGAGGGGCTTCCAGAGAAGACAGGGTAGCAGCTGCTTTTGAGATGGCACACATCTTCTGTTGTGCTCAGAAACCACAAAAGTGTTTATGGGGACTAAATTGGGCACTACAAAAGCAGAGAGTTGGCCTGCACTAGTGTCAACAGTGGTATCGGTCCATAGAACTCAAAAAGCAACATTTCTTCACACACACACACACACACACACACACACACACACACACGCGCGCGCACGCGCACACACACACACACACACACACACACACACACACACACGGACAAGGGCTCTTCCTAGGAGAATGCATAAACAGGTTCAGAGAGGTACTTGGAGTATGCCAGTGATGATTTTCTGACATTCAGTAGCGTGAGCATTTTGGCATGTTTGCTGTTTTACCACTTCATGTTCACTAGTCCTTAGTCTCACCAAGCATCTAGTTCAACTTTCATATGTAGTAGGTGTGCGAACATGCTGGCAACCAACAGATGGTCTTGCTCAAGAAATCAGAGTACATGTAACCCTTGAGTGGACCCAGGAAGTATCGAAGAACATGACTTCAACGTCCAATGAAGGATACATTAACTTGAATTAAAACACTTCACATAACTGTTGTACCTCCCTAAAGAAAGCTTGTAAACATCTGGTAAATGTGAATTAATGGTAGAACGTTAAAAACTGGCCAAAACAGATCCAGAAACATTTGGCCTTTCAGCACCCAAGGCTCCCAAAATATAATGTTAAAATATCTCTGCGAGAGGGATCTCAGTAATCTGAAAAATGTCATACCTGAGTGGCTAAACCATTCTCCCCAAAATTTTTAAGAAGTGCAAGGAGTTTCCACACTCAGGAATTGCATAAGTGTTTATCTTTCTTCAAAAAAAAAACAAAAGTAGTGAGTGATATAGAGGTAGCATAATTTACTAAACCAACTCTGAAACCCTAAAACAAAAGAACAAGGTAATTTTCAAATGCTAACAGGAGTATTGCAAGTGTCTAGACTTGTGGACTTGGGCTTGCTTCTACCTGCTTTTGGATACCTTATCATTCTCATTACGTTTCCTATCATGGGGACATTGACGAGTCCAGGCTCTGCTTGGCCCAGTAGCATCTACCGCAACATCAATAATAGAGTCTGGAGTCATCCACTGCAGGAAAAGGAGGAAGAGATAGCTGACCACTGCCAGCAAAGCAAAAATGTAGCCTGTCACCGGGCCACAATGAGAGATGAGCCTGTTCAACCTCTTGTGCATTGGCAACACAGTTTCCTTTGACACACGCTCATACACCTGGAAGAGAGAAAGTGACACTGAGCATTTGAGCCACCACAAGCCTGTAACAAAGGGTGACCCATGACCCACACTGACCAGGAGCATCTGGCAAACGTGTGTTGAGAGAATCACCCATGTCTGTTGTCATTTAGTATAGTGTTTACCATTGACTTAATCCTGGGCTAAACACAGAGTGACACAGAGAACAGGTGACAGTCAGCTGACTACTGGAATACCCAAGTCCTATAAGGTCAGAAGACTTCTTCAGCAGGCACACTGTTAAGTTGGGTCAATGCCTTGACGGGGTGAAGAAAGCTCTCACTAACTCCTAGCAGAGGGCACACACAGACAGCCACAGCACTGTACTGAGGACGGGTGGAGACACTACAGAGAAACAGCTTCTATGCTGTAAGTAAAGCAGGAAGAAGACAGAATAGATGCCGAGCTACAGAGTAGGAGAAAGCAATGGTAAGGAAAACAAAGAGGGCTGTGCTAAGAACTGGGTGTTGATGTCTTGCTTTGGAAGTCACTGCAGACCCTGAATCCTGAAAACATTAGAAATGCAAACTTGTCTCCTTGGGAATTGGGGAAAGTCACAATGAACAGCGCAGCTCTTCAGAGGGTGGCTGGCCTTTGAAAGGCATGATGTATGGTATGTTCATCTAGCTCTTATACCCTGGGAACATTTTAAGCACAAACATTTTAATCAGAATGATGTTGAGAGACTGAGGCTGGTGGACTGTAACAGAGATAGACTGGATGGATGGATGGATGGATGGATGGATGGATGGATGGATGGATGGATGGATGGGTGGGTGGGTGGGTGGGTGGATAGATGGATGGACGGGTGGGTGGGTGGGTGGATAGATGGATGGAGAGAGGGAGGACGGGGGAGAGGGAGAGGAAGAAGGAGTGGGAAAGGGAGAAGGGAGAGAGAAAGTTCCTTATAGCAGGGATTCTAACTTTTTTTGGAGAAAGGGTTTCAGGTAGCCCACTGCAACCTCAAACTAATTAGGTAGCTGACGATGGCCCTTAAGTGCTCATTTTGTTACCACCTCCAGAATGCTGGGATTACAGGTGTGTACCACCATGCCCAACTTACCAATTTACTTTTCAGTCAACATTCTATAAAAGGAGTCCAAAAGGATCAAAATGTGTGTGGGGTAAAACAACCTGTTTGTCCACCTTCCTGAGGTCAATTAATTCATTATCTTAGGTAATAAATAATTCACAACTATAAAGAGAACCTAACTATTATACATGAGGATTGACTTGTTTTCCATCTGGCTTTTTGAGATAGGGTAGCACAACTAGTCTGAAACTCACTGTACCACCCAGGCCAGCCTGAAATATTGTTATTCTCTTGCCTCAGACTTTCAAGTGTAAATCACCATTCTGGACAGGATTTTTCCCCTTTTTCCTTATTTCTTTTTTTTCCTTTTCTTTTTGCGTTTTTGCAAATGTATACTATAAATTGTCAGAGAATATAAAAGAAAATATATAAGATGCTTTACTATTACATCAAAGCAAAACTGTACGAAAAAATATTGTTATAAAAATGCTAATAAGCGCCTTTACTATAGGCTGATACATTGCCATCACAACTCTTTCCTGAGTTGCTCACTGACAACAGCTCAGACCTTTTACAGAGGTATGATTCCAAATCAGGGTGGAGTCCAAGATCACCAAAAAAACCTGTCTGGCCAAATATTCCTGCCAACCATAATCCAAACTGCATTTCTGTTCCACAAAGGACAAGTCAGAATTTAAGGAGTGGTTGGAGAGGTAAGGGGACAGAAGAATGGAGAACGTAGTCTTAAGTGGCTAACCACATAATTGTGAGACGCACCCCCACAAGCAACTGGTACTCAGTCCAACTTCCAGGGAAAAAAAGGTATCTATTTTCCTAAGTTGATACACCTCTTCAGCCAGTTATGTCTGTTCCCAGTATGTCTTATGTTAATGAAACACATAGCAGATGTCAATTTTTAGAGATAAGAGATCTCATGAGTAAAAACTTGTATCTCAAACCAAGAAATATTTTCCAGACCGGAAACCCACTGTATTAACAACAAAAGCATAAAACCCCAGTCTAAACTATGACCCTCTCCGTGCTCCACTCAGCTGGCTCTCTGGTACAGGACTTATTTGTTTGCTTTTTTCCTTTTTTTTCAAGACAGGATTTCTCTGTGTAGTCTTGGCTATCCTGAATCTGTAGAGCAGGCTGGCCTGAAACTCACAGAGATCTGCCTACCTGACTCTCAAGTACTAGGACTAAACACATACACTACCACTGCCCAGCTGGTACAGGATTTCTACATACTAAGAAGGTAAGTCGTTTCCTTCAGCTTGGCATGAACATGAGGAATGAAGCAGAAGTAGACACAAGGGAGACCTAACAGATGAGACTGAGCAGAACAAATATGACAGTATTTTCGCAGTCATCCTCTTCTTGGAAAGTCCCTGTGACTGCTTTCTTACTGGTGACTATTCGTTCTTATTTTCACATCTATTTTGAATTCTAATATGGTGTCAATCAACCTACAGATATGACAATTCTTTCTGGCAGAGTATCAGTCATCGGGAAACGCATGATCAGAGTTCTGGGAAGTATTCTGAATCAACACTCATGATTTAGAACAGGCATTACAATCACCTACCCATTTGTTAACAGGTCCTATGGGCTGCAGCATGATAAACAGTCCCAACACAGTGATTTTACTTCTCTTTTTGCTTCTGACTGCTGCAACTTCTAGAAACTTTTGTAACTTCTTTAGAAAGAGTTTAATGAGACTAGACTATGTTCTTACTATTTTTGGAGGTCGGGGCAGTGATTTATGTAGAAAACTAGCCAAGCATGTGCACCAACCCTGCTGTATAAATAATTATTCCTTTTCATTTGGAAGGACTCATACCCTTAAAGCAGAACTCAAAGGGCAAACCTGTATGCCAGAGAAGGAAATGTACATACAAAAGATCAAGGAATTCAATCTTTTCTCAACACATGACATACTTTTTCAGTTCTCTCGGCGACATTCCGCCAGGTGTAGAAAGACTTTACTACATTGTGGATATTTTCTGGAGCTGGCAACGTCCCTGACTTCACTTGGAAAATAGCCTTTTCCAGGCCTTCACACAAAGACTTGACTGAAGGTTCACATAATATAATAAGATTTTCTGGAAGAACTTCAGGAATCCCACCAACCTTCGTGCTGACAACCTTAAAAAAACCAGAGAGAGCACATGATCCACTGTAATTTCTCAGGAAAAGCAGAAGACCAAGCTAAAAAATATTAATTTCCCATGTACTACAAATACAGAATCCCATAAGAGAAGTCCTTAAAGTGTTTTACCTGCAGACCACAGCTGGCGGCTTCCACGATTGCCATGCAGAATGCTTCAGTGAGGGAGGTGTTAAGAAAAATATGTCCTTGAACTAAGACATTTCTAACATCCTTGTGTTCTAAAGCGCCCAAAAGTTGCACCCTAATTTTTACAATGAGAGGAAGAAAAAGAAAGGTATAAAAAATAAAAAGAATTCATGCTACAAAAGAAATTTAATTCCTACTGGTACTAATGTTTCCTACCTCAAAGATTAGATATGGTGGAACTCCAGTATAAAACAAACAGCTTTAAAAACCTGTTGTGTTACAGCTCATACAATGCAGTTTCATCTTCTCCAAACGAGTTTGTGTTTAATGAATATTAAGTTTGTGTTTTTTCGAAACAGGGTCTCACTATGTAGCTCTGACTGTCCTGCAACTCATTATGTAGACCAGGCTAGCCTCAAATTCAGAGATCTACCTGCCTCTGCCTCTTCCTCCCAAGTGCTGGGATTAAAGGTATGCACCACTATGCCTAGCTAATGAACAAATTAATAACATAACCATAATTAAATATTAAAAGTGTCATTTCTATGTGGGGAAATAACCTTTTTAAAATCAGCACTTCACATGTACAAACACTGTATGCTAAAAAAAATTATGGAGGAAAAGATCTGTCTGAACCTGTATATATACAGCAATTTACATGACTGGATCATGACACTTAAATCACAACATAAGATGTGTGAAACCATTTCCAACCCAAGTTCTCCCCCAACTTCCATACCTCTCATCATGCCTCCAACACCTGCCCCCAAGTCAATATTTCCAGGCAACGAACAAAAGTTATGTATTCTGTAAGCTCTCTTATCTGATATAAATTCACAAAAAATCATGCCTTATATTTGCATGCCCCTTATAAACAGAAGCAGGAGCACACCTACGTCAGGCATGTGGTCAAAAGCAAGCATAAACAACTGTCATTTTCACACCCACAATGCCTTAGAAGCCATTAATACCTGTCATGTAGTTGGTATCTTTCCCGCACTTCTTCCAAAATAATTCTCTTTGGTCCCTCTCCTCCAATTAGGAAATTTAATTCTTGATATTTCTGACAAAGTTCAGGTATTATACCACTAAGCAAATCAGTTCCTGAAATTATAAAGTTGAACGTTGGAAATATCAATATTTACCATTTAAAAAATCCAGAGTCCCTGAGACTCCACTTGTTTTTTTTCCTTTTTTTAAATTTAAACTAGAAACAAGCTTGTCTTACATGTCAATCCCAGTTCCCTCTCCCTCCCCTTATCCCCTGGCCCCCATCAGCCCTCCATTCCATTCTCTTTCTGTTCCCCAGAGACGGTGAGACCTACCATGGGGGATCATCAAAGTCTATCACATCATTTGGAGCAGGGCCTAGGTCCTCCCCTGTGTGTCTAGGCTGAGAGAGAATCTGTCTATGTGGAATGGGCTCCCAAAGTCCATTGATATACTAGGGATAAATACTGATCCACTACCAGAGGTCCCATAGATTAACCAGACCTCCTGTTTTAGGTATCAACTATAGCTAGACTCTCTGAAGTAGACAAACCATGTCTCTTAACTTTTCCCAGAAGGAGGGAATCATTTGCCAACTGCCATGGTTCCCAAGAGTTACAACACTTGAAGATACAGGTTCTGACATGCATTGCTAGTGCCACATACCTAAATCATGAGCAATCCTGTTTCAACGTTGTATCCTTGTTCATACTGCCTACTTTGGAAAGTGTGTCAGATAGTTAAAGTTTGTCAGCTTTCTCCAGAGCACACAGCTGCCCAGAAATCTAGGTCTCACTCCAGCTCTTTACATTGTAAAAATCAGTCCACTCTCTCCTCATGGCTTAGTAAAGGCAGAGACATACATATCTAAAGTCCAAAGTCTCCAGTCATAAAAATCAACAGGTCTATGATTGTACTTCCTGCAGCCAGAAAGGGCCAAAGCACTAATCTTAGCTCCTGCCTTTTCTTTGTTCAGACTGCAGTTTATACAGAGAATTTCGAAATGAACACCAGTGAGTGAAGATGGCAGGACCTTGGCTGAAAGATCATTATAGTCCATAGACCTAAGGCTAGATCTTCCTTTTGTTTTAAAAAAGAAAATGGTTTCACACAATATGTAAGCATAATCTCAGGAGACATAAAGCAATAGAGCAAGTCACAGCCTACTTGTACAAACAGTAGCAGCTAAACCCACAGCAATGCTGACAGTGGGAACTTAGCTCCTCAACAATTACAAGCCATACATTCAAAAGTAAACATGAAATAATCTATTGAGCTGAGTTTATTCAATTAAAAATGCACACACATAAATTGGCATATGCACACAAACTGCATTTCTTCCATCAATCTTCCTCAAAATAGGCAGAGCAATTATAAAGCATGGTGGGAAAATACAGATAGGTTCACGTGGATTTTCTTTGCTTTTTTATATAGGTATAAACCTATACCTTCTGTCATAGTGCATGAATTAAGTGGATAGTTATGAATCCCTATAGATTCTTCTTCAGTGTTCTTTTCAATCCAGCTAAAAGTAGTAATCAGATGTTGGGTGTGGTTTGGCAAACACTTGACCATTTCACCACAGTACAGCATCTCTCTGCATTCTCAGAATGGCTGTCCTGATTCTCTGAAGTGACCATTAGGGCTCCAAAGAAGAGTATTTCAACATTCTATCTACACTCCAGATAAAGAAAACTCCTTTATTTTTTAAGATATTGAACATATTGACAGAAATATTCATTCCATGTATCTGACTTCTTTTAGGACATTTTCTGCTCTAAGCTTCTATCTGACAAGATAAACCACAACCAAATCATTTCTTCCACAGACTCTTTTTGTAATAAGAAATTTAGCTTTGGCTATTGTGAGGTTCTGAAGTTGCCTACGTCTCTGGAAGCTGCTCAGAATTCAACCACTTTGTGCAATCACTAATGGATTTTCAAAATGATTATATGCACCAAAAATCAATTCAGATGTAGGTTTCCTGAATGGTGAAGGCTTCCCATTAGCTATCTTTGTTTCAAGTCTATACACATCAACTGGACTGCTGGATAGCCATAAAATAACTTCATACCACTTAACACTTAGCTTCTTACACTTTATCTGTTTCACTCCTTTAAAAGGAAATATTAAGTGTCCATTCTTCATATAAAAAAGATGGTGCAACCATCACAGGTGCTGACAATGGCTACATTTACTGAACTTACTATATTCACAATCTACTTCCAATGTACTGGGTCATTTAATCCTGACAAGAACCATATTCGGAACGAGGCCAGTCAGCACCATCAATGCTTTATTATGGTACTCTAGGAATAAAGCAGGTTTTCCCCTCCTCGTTATAAAACAAACAAAACCCAACAAGCTTATTCTGGCTAGATTCTAAGAAGCCTCTAACACAAAACACAGCCCACAAAAAGACTATCAGTCACCACATTCACACAAAACAGACACATGCACAAAAAACCTACTCTGATTCAAATTGACTTTGAATGTTCACAACTGTTCCAGGATAACAATGGCCAGGATAACAATGGCCAGGATAACAATGGTAGGGGCACAGGGAGACTCTGACTCAAGAGCTGTTACTTACTGTGTAACCTTGGGCGAGCTACTTACCCTCTCTGAGAACTGTTTTCTTGCCTGTTACATGCAGGTAACATCTACCCTACAGTTGTTGGGGCAAGTGGGGTCCTGTACCATGCACAGGCTTTATCAACTGCAGAATACAAATGTGAAGTTGTCATTACCACTACAGCAAGCAGCTGGACGTGCCTGCACACACAGAGAACAGTGGGAGACTCTGACTAGATGGAAAAGAGGAAGGATCAGAAGCCAGCCTTTTCTCCACGAAAGCTGGGCAAAGAGAACATGGCTTCAGCCTCTTAATCTACTTCAATGGGCCTTAGAAATCTGGTCCACTAAACATCTCCCAAAGGAATTACAGTATTAGGAAGGAATGGACCCTAATATAACCACTTACATTTGAGCTATAGACATGCCCACTGCTCCTCATGGTACATTTTGCAGGGGGCCTAGCCTATGGAGAAGGTTCAGTATATCTGCTGAGTTACTGAATGGACAACAGGAAAGGTCATACTTTGGCTCCATTGTAGCTAGCTCTGATGTTTAAAATACTACCACATTAATAAGATAATGCAGCACATTTAACCTTTGTATGAGTAGTTATGTTGATCTTCAATCATACATGCCATCACACTTTCCCATCTATCTCACCAAGGTAAGCTATTTGATTAAAAATAAGTTGGGCAAATGTTTGAAGTTACAATAAATGTATCACCAGTATCCCAGCAGGGGTGCGCAATACAGAATTCCATCCACATCATCTTGATCAAACAGCCAGACATGATTTCCTTTATCCCAGAACCTCCACTTAAAGGGGGTTGTTCAAAATTACTACAATCATCATCTATCCTGACCACTGTCAACTTCCAAATATACTGCTACATGATAGGATATAGCCTACTGGCCTTTCTCCACAAATTCATCTTCTGCCCATTTTCCTCATGTCTGTATTGAATAATTTAATTAAATATCACATAAGCTGACAAGTTTCTACAAAAGCTAAATAGTTTGAAAGAGCCAATAAATGAATGTCAGGGGAAAAAAGTCCTTGTCAGATGAGAGGTAACCTAAACTGGAGAGGAAAACTGAAAACAAATGTAAAATCCAGCACATCGTTTCAAACATGTTCGTCCCCCTCCTTTAAAGGAAACCCAGAGTGGCAACGATATGCTCCGTGAAGGCAACTGTATAAGATGGTGCAGCTGGAATCTGTGAGCTGATCCTCAAGTCCTAGAGCTCTAAACCAGCTCCCTACAATTCAGCATGTGCATGAGTGTTTTACATTATTAAAGGGAGCATGTAGTATTCATTACAGATTTCCCACCCCACAAACCTTCAGCAATATTTCTGATAATTGGACAGCTTTTCAAATAGCACCAGGAGACCATTTCTATGTTAAAAAGCAAGTTGTTTCAAATGTGTAATAAACACAAATGCTACAATGGGGACTGTTAGTGCCCCAGAAATTTGAAAACCAGCAACAAGAACAAAATACTCCTGAGGGATAACAGAGGATGGAGGTGGATTATAACCTCAGCAAAGATCTTTATAAGAGTTGTCTCTGAGCCACCACAAAGTTCCTTCTGTGCCCTAAACAAATAAAAACTGACACAGAGCTATTAAGTGACCTGTCTTTGATCAGCAATGAGCCAGGTTCTGACCCTGGGCCACCTACTCCTGTCTTCATCACTTAAATGCTGATTAGCAATGCCTTGCAGATGACCAGATAAAAACCAGTAAGGCACAGGACATATACCTAAAAGGTCTACTGATTTTGAACAACGTGTACAGATGCACAAAAGACGTTACCAATGAAAACAGTCTTTAGGGCCATCTCTGAATAAAACAGTCACAGGTGTGGTATGTGAGCTTCGAAAATATCTGCAATTAAGAAACCATTACTTCTGCAATCAAAAAGAAAAGGCCACACAGCACATGCTGTTCTGACTACCTGTGCAGGGTTACTGAACTTTTGCAAAGATCTAACTGATTAGAGGACAGCAGGTACATGTGTTTGTTGTTGTTCAGTAACCATTATAACATCAAAAGTTGGGGCAGCATTCACAGCCACTCTATACATTTCTCTTCTTAGATGTATAAACTTCATATCCGACTTTCCCTTGCAATAGTTACAAGTCATTATAAAGCCACTGCACAAAATGAAAAGGCAAGCAATCGTTATATACAAGTATTGAACAGTTTTCTACAAGGAATAAAAAGCGTCAATGCAAATAGAGCTACTATTTCATTACCTTTTCTGTAAACAAGTCTGCTGACAACAACAACCGTTATTAAACTATCATGTCTCCTAAATGGTTCTGGAGTGAAGTCAGTAGGGTCTACAGCATTAGGAATGACGGACACTATTTCAGGATTCAACGCTGCTCTTAGTACAGTGTTTTCCTTACTAGTGTAAGAGACACAAATGATGTGGTTTGTGTCACAGAGAGACACAGTTAGAAGCTTGTTTGTAAGCACCGAGCTGACATCAGCAAATCCAAAAAGGGAATGGTCCGTGAAGACTGTCTGAAGCCCCATTGTCTTGGCGTGGAAGAGAGCATCGTGGGCCATGGCAGAGAAAGAACTGTGGGAATGAATTATGGTAACTCTCTCCCGAACAAATATGTACCTGAGCAATGGCAGACTATGAAAGAGAGTTGTGGCTGTAGATTGGTTGTACATGACTCTGAGAGGCAAATAATAAACTTTGAGGCCATTGGTGAGGTAACGGATGCCCTTTCGATTTCCATAAGCATGGGTGACAACTATAACCTTGTGCCCCCTCTCAATGAGGCACTGAGAGAGCTGGTAAATGTGGCTTTCCACACCTCCCATGTTTGGGTAGAAAAAGTCAGACACCATGCATATACTGTGGATGCAGGTCCTATTGTTGGAAAGACTTCGGGGGCTAAACTCAGAGGGCATCACTGAGGGAGGCTGGCCATGCCCACCTCTTCTTCTACTGGCCATGCTGAGGTGGTTCAGGCATAAGTTCTCAGAGCAAGCCAGTTAAGAAATATGTCTTCCATCACCTGAAAGAGAAAAACAGGGCATCAGCTCAAAGCCACATCCCACTTCGTATTCCAAATCCTGTAGAAATAGCTTTAATGTTAAGGCACCTTTTAAGCTTCCCTGCTACACTTAAAATTTGACAACATTTACTTGCTTAGCATGATGATGTTAGATTCTGCTATGTGTTAATTGAGCTAGGAAACTGGTACATTTTAAATGTTAGGCCATAGTACACAATAGATTGCCACAGCAACAAACCAATTCATTCCAATAATTAAACAGACACCCATATATTTCCCCCTCTCCTCTTATCTCTTTATCAGCTTCTCTTATTAAGTCACTATATATCTAACACTACACAGACTCAAAAGTTTTCTATATGCTACCAGTCTACTTGACACACCCAAACAAGGCATCGATTCTATAATATAAATGCAAACTCTAAAGCTTCAAGAAGTTAGAAGAAACACAATGCAGTAAGCCATTCCATTAGTGATCCTCTCTACCCCCATTTTTTTTAAATCCAAGTTTTATATATGTAGCTCACACAAGCCTTGAACTCATAATATTCCCAGTCTCTGCCTCCTGAGGGCTGGGATTATAGGCATGTGCCACTGTACCCCAGAATCTCTCTTACATTTGGACTATGTAAGCCAATGGATATGGAAGAAGTGACACACAAATCTTTGACTTCAGCCTATAGAAGGTCTGATGGCTTTCACTTCTATAGTTACCACGTAAGTCATGCAACTACTGAGCTAGAAGGACATGGGGGAAGTTGGGTGTAGTGATGAACACCTTTTAGCCCAGCACTCAAGAGGCAGAGGCAGGTGTACCTCAGGTGAGTTCAAGGACAGCCTGGTCTACAGAGTGAATCCCAGGACAGCCAGGGCTAGACAGAGAAACCCTGTCTTTAAAAAAACCAACAAAACAAAACAAGAAGGACATGGGGAAGCCAATGAAAAGTGCTTACAAGCTACATGGAGAGAGGTGGTTCCCAGCCATCTCTACATCCTTACCTGTGCCCAATCTCTAGGCAGACTATTAGCTAAATGCAGCCTTATCCAGTGACCTCAGAAAAGATTCATGAAAGTACCACTAGTTAAGTCTAGGAGCAGATTCCAGAATTAGGAAAAATAGCAAAAAGACTATTGCTTTCTAGCTTACCTTTTGTTCTGGTTTGAGACAGAAAAGGATATAAAACAGACTAGGTTCTGAATCTACTTATCCTGGCACACTATGTGAATGGCTACTTCTATGCTACAATAGCAGAGAAGTTTTGAAAGAGATCATATGGCCCACAGAGTCTAAAATATTTACCATCTGGCTCTTCACAGAAAATGTGCTGATTGCCATTGAACAGCTTGGCTAGTGATCTAGTTCATCCCATAAGGTCCTGCTGGGTAGCTTTGTGGTTTCCACTAAAATATACCTGGAGCTAGAACTTCTTGAGAGCACCCTCTTCAAGTGTTATGTGGAACTCATGCTGCAGACCATCCAGTTTCTCCTTCCTTATACAAGGATGCTGATACTGAAACTGCTCCCTTCTCTTTTCTGAACCTCTTTTCAGCGCAGACTCTGAAAAGAAACAGAACTGGGTATGGGCTATGTGTGTGGAAGCTTTCCTATATCTACGGTAGGAAATGTTTCTTTCTTTCTTTCTTTTTTGTTTTTGTTTTGTTTCTTTTTCCATACAGGGTTTCTCTATGTATCTCTGGCTTTGTAGGCCAGGCTGACCTCGAAATCACAGATATCTGCCTGCCTCTGCCTCCCAAGTGCTGGGATAAAAGGGGTGCACCACCACCACCTATAGATGCTTATACTTTTAATGGCGATCTTGCAAAAATCCTCCGTAGCTAAGATCTACAAGGCTGCAAGAATTCGATGGAGAATTATTATCCTAAACGCTGAGTTTCACATCTCACCTGCAAACTATATGCGTCAATTCATCTACACTTAAAATATTCTCAGAAATACGAAGTGGGGAGGCAGGGGAGGAGCATGGACTTGGAAGGCAGAGAGTTAAGGGTTCCAGAGCAGACTGGGCTACATGGGGGGACCCTGCCACATAAACTGGAAAAAAAGAAAAGAGAGAAGATCGAATTTGCAACCAATAAATAAATAAATAATCAAGTTTGTAGAAAGAAAGGAAAGTTTCAAGTTAACACTTTTAAGTGGCTAATGCTGTTCTACTGTGGCGTGTCATCTAAACCTGAACTTTTAGTCCTAGTCAGCTCTAAGAAATGAATGATAAGGAAAACAGAAATAATGAACCAAATGAAATTATCTCAAAGTCTATCACTGACCTCCAAAGTTCTGTTACGAATCTGCCTGCCAGCAGGTTACCATCCTAAAATCTTTATTGCGTAAAAGCTCAACATACTGCATACTAGCTGAATCTTAGCTTCTATAGGTTAAGAGAGCTGTAAAATCTAGTGAATTCATAGCAGAACTTACGCTGTAAAATCTGGTGAAATCTCTCTGGAGCGTTACAGGTTGCGCAATCTGCCCAAACGTAAATGACAAAGTCAAAAAGACTCAACATTCTAGATCACGGCCAGGGAGCTCCCTTATTGGTAGAAGCTCCTGAGCCTTCGAGGGGGATTGGAGCAGGCTGAGGAATCAAGAGAATCTTACTTTAATCCAGTCCCAGGGCAGTGCAACCTCATGACTACCTGAGAGGTTCACTAGCGCCAAAGAGAGGGTCAGTCCGGGTCCATCAGCCACCCCTCCAGGATCAGGCAAGATCTGGCCAGACCCAAAACGAGTCAAAAAACGTCCTGAGGTTGCAGTCCTTCACTCTACTAAACTCAGCCTACGAACCGGTGCAGGCTCTCAATGAGCCCTCAGTCCCATTCGACTCCGGAGACCCTCGGACCCGACTTCCGGGCCTCAGGCCGGGTGGGATTCGTTCCCTCCACAGCCTGCCACGTTACTACAAGAACCGCACAAGCCGATCCGGAAGAGAGAGAGAACGCTGGAAAGCGCAGCCAAGACGCGCACTTACCCTCGAGTCCCATGGCCGCCACTGTCCGGACCTCCCGCGGCTGTAAAGGGAATCCCGCCCCACTGCTCCAAAGCACCAATCAAAAGCGTCCGCGACCCGTGCACCGCGCCCCCTTGGTAGCCAATCACACAGAGCTTCTGAATACACGTGGAAGAGAGACGCCCAGTCATTCCCAACTCTCCAGCGCCGGGTAGCAGCGTCAGCGAGCGCCTGAGCACGTCTCCTAAGAGCTGCGGAAGGTCCCGGGCGTACGTACCCTAGTTGCCTAGTTACGGCTTCTCTTTTCAGGAAGCCTGCTCTCTCCCCGCCTCCTTCCGGTTAGAGAGACTTGGGGGTGGAAGGCTCGGGGAAATCAGGGTCAGGACGTTTTATTATCAGTATCACAGCCGCCTCAACCACGCTGGTTCTTATCACTCTGGCACGGTTTCTAAATGCAATAAATAAAAGTACACAGATACAGAAAAACCCTCAGCAAGTCAAAACGAAATTATGAACTTTGATTTTCAGATCTGCATTTCAATGAGTGCCCCAAAGATTGAGGACGTTCCTTTTAAAGTTCAGATTTGAGATTTTGTCTTACAACACTACAGTCCAGGTGGGAAGAAATCTTAGGTATAAACTGAGACGCTCCCACTCAAACTGTTGGGGTCCTCAGCCAAAAGCGTCTTGAGGTCCAGAGACAGATCATGCTATAGTGGTGCTTGGCCAAGAAGACAGAATCTATGTGATTGTTATAGTGGTCACCCAATCTTTTCTGTTGGTACTTGCAGTTCCCCGGCACTGCCATTCCTGCACTTCTAGACGAAATTCTTTTCTGAGCAACATCACCATCACCATGACTGACATCCCTTTGAAACTTGTGCTAAAGTTAAGGCTATTTTCTGAAAGCCGAAACAAAGTAGCAGAGTTGAGTTAAATCTGAGGGTGATTTTGTTCTCTGCCGGGAGGACCTCAAAGCATGCCTTTAGAGCAGTAGATCTCACGCTGTGGGTCTCGACCCCTTTTGGGGGTCAAACAACCCTTTCACAGATATCAGATATTTATGTTACGATTCATCACAGTAGCAAAATTACAGTTATGAAGTAACAGCGAAATCATTTTATGACTGGGGGTCAGCACAACATGAGGAACTGTACTAAAGAGTTACAGCATTAGGAAGGTTGAGAGCCACTGCTTTAGTGAATGTTATTGCAAACCACTAAAATTTGACTAAAATGTTGATGTGCAGGATGTTCCAATATGAAGGCAGTCAGGACCAGTTGTACTATCAAATGTCCTAAACAGAAAAGATGTAAAATAAATGTAGGTATCATCTTCTCTTGAAATTTAGTTCTTTTCCAATTCATATGTAAATAAGCTTCCTTGGATAATTTTAGAGTGGGAAGGCATCACACATATATTGAAAGCTTGCTATCTATATGCAAATTAGACAGAGAAAATCTGGCATGAGCACTATTTCCAAACCAAGATGAAACTAAAGCATATGAAACAGTCTATGAGAAAAGGAATTTTTAAGTGTCATAAAAGAAATACATGGATAAATGCTGGGAGTTTCACGGGAAAGAATACTTCTATCTGCTAGCGTTTATGAAACAATGAGTAGAAGATATCTATACAAGTTGGGAGCAAGAGCCTTTCAAGAAAAAAAGTGAATGAAGATGTGTAGGCAGATGCTAACTGCTCAGTGGATATTTTTGTATAATTATACAAGAAATAAATAGGGAGGAGATGTGGCCAGAAGAGCAGCATTGTCAGTAAGAATTACAGCAAACTGGTAGAATGCTTTAGAACATTTCCTGAAGAAAATGTCCTTGATGCTGATCCAGATTTCCAGCAAGTATGACATGTTTCAGTCATTATTCTGTGACTGTTCTCCTTGTTCTGCTTCAAATAGAAAAATCAGATATAATACAAATGAGAAGTGTATGTTTTGCTGTGTGTGTTTTTTTAAGAACCCAAGAGATGAATCAAAATTACAAATGCTTAATCGAAACTAAAAGCTACATAGTCCCAGGACATAGAAGAGGTGTCAGTAAAATGTGGACTAGGGGTTAGCTCCTGTAGAATAATATGTACTAGCAGGATCCACATGTGGCTAGGGACAGGAACTAGTCTTGTGAGAGACTTTTACTTTGGTGGCCTTCAGTAAAGCCCCTGTCAACTGATAACCTTTACTTAACTCCCTCCCACATGGAGTTTGAGGTTTGACCACGTGGCTTGCTTCACCAAAGGTACTCTTAACAACTGAAATGCAGCAAATAAATGCTTCATAAGTGTTTATGGACTGGTCCGTGCCCTGTTGGAACCTTTCCTCTTGAAAGCCAATGTCCATATATGTGAAGAAGCCCAGCCAAGATGTTAAATGAGAACAGCCATATGGAGACTCTGAAGAATGAGACTTCTGTTGGTCATTCCAGCTTTAGATGAGTTCAACTTTGATGGAATTACTTCATCCTGTACCATGTGGAGCAATATAACCTCCTATCCAATCCTTGTCAACCAACAGAATCCAGAAATAATAATCTTGAGAAAGTCATTGTTGACTATGGATACAAAGTTTCCGTGACATTTGTTACATAGTAACAGAAAACTTGCCTGAATCTCATCTCCCCACTTGATAATGGATATTGAAAAACTTTGTTGCAACAGTTGGCTCCTGTCTAGAGACAGAATTGAGCTACTTAAAAAGTGATCTTCAGTTGGCCATTGTCACTGCTGGTGTGGTCTATGACTCACAGGTGCACTCTCATGGAGATGAGAGGAGCATGTGCTAGCTCTCAGGGAAATCCCCTAACATTAGAATAGATGTAATAGTAAGAAAGACAACACAGAAATGTAGCAAAGGAAATTGAATTCATTCCAAATGCAATTAAAATAATAGGAAAACGTGAGCAAATGAGAATAAAAGGTTTTTTAAAAGTATGTTAAAGTGAAAGGAGCATCAACTTGTAGTAAATAACCAATTAGAAGAAGGTATTAATTAATCTTTTGTAATGTAGAGCTGGAGACACAGTATCATGCTTCTCTAGCATGCTCAAGGTCTTGACTTTGATCCAACACCACAAGCAAAACACAAGGCTACATTTCCTTATCCTGGTAAAACTGAAGCTAATACTATTACAAACAAGAACTGTAAGCCAAAACAATCCCTTTCTTTAGTTTTGTGCATTTTATCACAGCAATGAGAAATGTGAAAAGTACAGAAAATTAGTACTTGGAAATGGGGCTGTTGCTGTGGTAAATCTGACCATGTGGTTCTTCAGCCTTTGAAAATCCCTAGAATGCTGTTAGCAGAGCCTAATAGACCCTACTGGTGGTAGCTTGGAAGACAAGAATCCTGAGAGAAGCACAGGTCCTGGAAGATTGACTGAAGAGGTTTCAGACAGAAGGAATAATCTTATAAAGAACTGAGCAAACAGGGATGTTAATGCAGGACAGAACGAGAGGGAAACTTATGTGCTCATGAGAAAGAAAAGGAGCTGGAGTCTGCTTGCAACCTCTCACCATCTGAGCACCAGAGTTCGTGCACAGCCAGGTGAGGCGGCACACACCTTTAGATGCCAACCCTGGGGGGCAAATGCAAAGACTGGTAGTTGGATCTCTGTGAGTGAATTCCACGCCAGTCAGAACTATACAGTGAGACTGTAACTGACTGGCCTGGAAAAATGAAGATATTCTAAAGAGACACTTGTGTCTCTCAGTTGGACTATGAGACTGTTAAAATAATGGACCAAAAATGTAAATTTCCCCAGAAAATTCAAGCTGGGAGAAGCAAAGAGAGCCAGCCAGAGGGGTAACTTGTCTCCCAGAAAGATATTTCATGCTGTTCTAACAATTTTATCTGACCACTTTACAGGACAAGACTGAAATCCAGATAATGATGAGGCTAAGGTGGGCGGGACCTCACCTTAACCAGGACTGCTTAGATGTGCATATCCTTGGTCCCTTATTTAAACTTTGATCTTACCTCAGGACCCAGAAGATGAAGGCAGATTCAAGGGGTTTGCTGGACCTTTGACCCTCTTCTGATATAGCCACATTGAATACATCCATTTTTAATTTTGAGGACAGGTAGCCAGACCTATCTTCGGGCACAGGTTATGACCCCCAAGTTTGATAACAAGAACCTGTCTCAAGAGAAAGAGAAATAGAAAAAGAGAGAATCCTAGCATAATTAAAATTAACAACTGATTCAAAGATTACTAATACAGAGATAACATCCCTTTCCTATATGGATATTATGAGTTAAAGTAACAAAAAAAATAAGGCTTAAGGCCTGAATGTACATGACCTTGAGGGGAGCCTCATTCGTTCCCATGGACATTTTCTGGAACTCTCAAATAAGACTACTAATCTTGTTTACAGTAAAGATGCAGCCCTGCATTCCTATCATCTACAGCTTTACCTTATCATTGTTACCCTGTCCCAGGCCCTTTGGGAACCACCCTGTGATCTCGTTTAGGTTCCTTAGCAACCCTTTGAAACTATTAGCTCCAAAACCACCCAAATTCTATATGTGACTGTTATTAAATACAATGGGGTGTGAGCTTTCAGAGAAGCCACACCCATACTCTTGGGTGTGTCTTCCTTTCTTCTCACATATTTCTTTCTTCTTTTAACCCTAGTGCTGAAAATATAAATCAAAATGTCCTTTAGGAAACTACAGCTCTACTTCATGTTCTTTTCCCCTAAAATTTTTTCTGTGTCAAAGTCAGAGACCCTGTTTTACCTGAGCCAAAGTCCCTAAAAGATTAGGGTAAACTCCCTAGGCTGTTGCAGGTGACAGCACAGACTTGTGTCTCTGTCCTGTCATGCACTGCTGTGGAATTCTGTTATGTTTTGGATAAGAATTTGGCTGCATTCTGCCCATACTCTGAGAACTCAACTAAGGCTGAATTCGGAAGTAGTGAACTAATGTCCTTGGTAGAGGAGAGTTCAAGACCGGC